GACGTGATTGCGGACTTGCGTGCCAAGTGGAATTCTTTCGCGTCCAGCTACACCCAGACCTTTGACACACACGTCTCGATTCAGAGTGCCCGCGAACTCCACCGCCACCTGAACCTGGACTCGGCGACAACCGTGCTGGAAGTCGGCGCGGGGGCTGGCTTGGGCTCGCTCGACGCGTTGGGTTACCTTCAAGAGTCTGGACTCGGCGTCAAGTACACTCTCACGGACTTGTCCCCGTCGATGTTGGACTTTGCCAAGAAGAACATCCCGCCGTCGCGATATTCGTTTCCCCTCGACTTTGTCGAAGCAAATTGTACGTCCCAGTCCACCATTTCTTTCGCTCTCACGTCGTGCTGCAGCCCAAGAGCTCCAGTTTCAAGACGCGTCGTTCGATCGATACATCTCGACGTTGGTGTTGCAGCTCGTGCCGGACGCGGACGCGATGTTGCGAGAATGCCATCGCGTGCTGCTTCCCGGTGGGCTCGCCGGGTTTGTCATTTGGGGCCGACCAGAAAACACGCCGTTCTTCCAACTGATGGCTGCTGCCAACGAAAAGCTCGGGGCCCCGTCCGGTTTTACGTCCAACTACGCGTTGGGCAGCGACCTGTCTGTCCTCCAAGCAAAGATCCATGCCGCCGGGTTCGCTGCCGCGACTGCGTGGCCATACGTGTCTGTCGTGGAGAAGTGGGATGCTGGCAAGTACGCGACGCTCGTGGGCCGCCTCTTTCCCGTCGAAGACAAGGACGTTCATGCCAAACGCCACGCGATTCTGGTCGACCTGGCGTCGGCCTGGCTCGCCAAAGGACAGCCCATTGCCATGGAAACGTACCTCATCGTGGCCACGAAGTAGGGGCCATCCTCTTTGCAACAGCGTCAACAGGCTGCGCTGCATCAACGTCGCCATGCATAATGCAAAGTCAATGTCAACCTGTTCCTGTTCGAGTCGCAGGTCCCTCGAGAGCTTCCCACACCTACCAGAACCAGGATGCTAACATCGTCCCCAAAGGCATACGGACAGCTCGGTGGCTGTGGTGGCCATCGATCGCCGTCGGTTGCTCCTATTTCGCAAGCGTCCGAGCCTCGTGCAAAACTGTATTGCCCACAAGGTACTCGGTTATGTTGACATGCATGAACGAAATGGACGAAACTGAACAGTGTAGTGAATCGGTCGGTCCTTTTGATAGAGTGCACATGGTGAAGTTTTAGCTACAACTAGCCAAACACTGGAGGGAAATTCTGTTTGTCTCGCGCTGGCGAAGGTGGCGATGGCTCGTGCTGATTGTTGCATGAGGCTGTACAGAGCAAGGTCTGAATTTCCTTCTTGAGTCGGATCACCCGGTCTTCTTCTCTTGAGAGATTTTTCGATGCACACTGCAGAAGCGATTGCAGGTCGTCGTTGTCGGCCTGAAGTTGTCGAATGGTGGTGGTTTGGGTGGACAGCTGAGCTTCTGCGTCGTGTAGTCGAGCTCGAAGGCGTGCATTTTCCCCCTCGAGAGCACTTTTCAGCACGACGTTCTCCATTGCTTTGGACGGACTCTGAATTGGGAAATGATGTCGACCTGGAATAGAGCTTGGAGACGCCAACGTCAACGGACCAAGCTTCCTCGTGAGGTCGCGCACTTGCTCCTGGAGACTCTTGGTCATGGCCAGCTGCTCGTACCCGAGGCGCGTCAAGTCATCGACGTGCAAGGATGCAGAGTTGGATGTGACTGACTACGATGGCCTTACAGTCCGACCGTCAAGAGAGCATGCGCACACGTACCCCAAGCTGTGGCTCATCTTGGTTGTTCGACTCGTCCACGGGCGTCGTGGCTTCTGGCGTCGATTCATCGTCGTTGACTGGCTTGATCGGAATGGATCGCCATCCGACCGTCGCTTGTGGGAGCTTGTCCTGTTGGGTTGCAGTGGATGGACAACTGACTGTCGTCCAGCGTCGCGGTCTGGTCGATGGGAACGGCGGCGCTGACGTTGCCACTCGTTTGTGCATCATTCCGTGGGCCATGCGATTCTCGCTGCTTGACGTCGCCCGCATGTACGACGGGATCGACCGCCGCGATGCCACATCCATCGGCAAATGTATTTTTAGACTTCGAGTGTGAGGCGTGTCGCGCAGAACCTGGTTGGTTGCATCATGCAACCCTTTCAAGACGCTCCGTCAGGATGGTGGCACACCGCGCTGGTCGGTGAGTCAGGGCAGCCCTGAACCACCCAAACGATCTGCATAAAGGCGCGCGGAGCGAGGCTCATCTGTTCTCGCGTCATTCCAACCACCACGACACGAGCTAGACTGGTGACATGCCATTCATTCCACTCCCACGCTACACAGTTCAAACGTTTCCGAAGCAAGATGGTCATCGTTCCAATAGGACGGCACGCCATGGAGAATTCTTGGCGTCGTGGATGGCATGGTGCCATCTAGCATGCTCGTCCAGGCTAGCGAGGTGCAGCATCCACCTGTCCTGGCTTGTTTCGAGCGCAATCGCAAACTGCCCATCCTCGACGTCCGCTTGAACATCGGCTACGTCCAGGAGATTGACCGCGGCGACAGCGTCGCGCTTGAACGAGTCATCTTTGAACACATACAGCGTCGTTCCTTCCAGAACCAGCCTAGGACGATGGAGTGAATCGCACGAAGTTGATGTACCGCCACGTCCTCTCGTACCACTTGCGTCGGCGACGTGGTTGCCGTGGTAGGGTGAACTTGACCCATCCGTCCGTGCGAAGGCGAGGCGGAGATGGCGCCGCGATCCGGTACAATGCCGCCATGTCGGGCTGGACAAGTGCCGGTGGCTTTGGTGCATGGAGATGGTCAACCAAGGCTAACTTATTGTGGCGTCGGAGAAAGCTTTCGAGATAGTTCCAGCACCCGTCGGACGGGGCGAACGTTAACACACAGATTTGGACCAACGTCCATGCCTGCACGAGCTGTGAGCGCAGCATATGAAGCGAGATCCAAACGAACCTGGGTAGCCCGGCCGAGGTCGATGCCATGGATGGCCAGCAGCTGCTGCACGAGCTGTACGTAAATTTCGTCGGCGAGGCGGCGACTTGAAAGGCCCGTGCAGACGAGAAAATGGGCAACGCGAAGGAGGTACAACGCGTGATTGCCGAGGTACGCGTGAATGGATTTCGAAATCTTGACGGCAAGTTTGGTTTCGCCAGCGTCGAGGTCCGTCAGCGACGTTGACAGGACTGGAGGATGCGATGGTGCATAGGGTGTAGCCATGGGCTGCAAAACAGTGGTAGGTCGGAGGCGTGGAAAGTGCTGCATGTCGAAGAGGCGACCGCTATGCTGAAAGAACGCTTGTTTCAGAGCCAACGTGATTTTCAGGACGTCGTGCGACGGCGCGTGGTGCTCCACTGCCCACTAACGGACACGACTCAAATGGGACCTCAACGTTCGGACGACAGTCGGCCATACCTTGAGCTGTTCTTGCAAAAACTTGTTTTGCGACAGGGTGAGCAAAGTCTCGACTCTCGATCTGGCCGGGGAAGGAAGGCGCAGGTGGTCGCAATGCCGAACAAACGCCGCAAGGCGATCGGTGTTGGTATCAAATTGGCACAACGAAAACTCCACCTGCAGCTGCTTCAAGCTTTTGCACAACCGAGTCGCCCGATGGACAAGGCGAGAATGCACTTGCAATCTGCACACGAGCCGTTTAGATTCAACTGGTCGGGACACGTCGTGGTGAAAACGACGGCGGGCATTACCTCGCTGCTTTGTCGACAGCGGACTCGAGTGCTGCTAAAGATTTGACTTGAATGGCCTAGAGGACGTCCAGTTCGTCGTGACGATTTTCATCGGGCGTCGGATCTTTCAAACGTGCATGACGCAGCTCGTGCCGAATGTTCTTGAATGTTTGGACAGCATCTTTCGCGCGTAGAACGAGGTCGCGCAGCGTGTAGTCGCGATGGAGGTGGTGGCGATCGACTTGATCGAGTGCGCCGTGGAGTGCATCGTACGAGTTGGACGCCATCGCGACGTGGAGGGCCTCGGCAACGCGGACGGACGCCCGCTTGAAGACGACGAGGTCCATCGCCGCTTGTTGTTCCATTTCAAGTGCATGCGCCATCGCGCGAAACCATTTATCCGACGCGAGCAGGTCGAACTGGTTGCATTCTCAATCCAAGCCACGGATTTCACTGGCAAACTACCTGGCGATGTCCGACCCACAGGATAGCTTGCACGGCTGTCCATGCGTCTTCCACTCTATCGAGCGTCGTACACTCAAACAATTCCTAGCCGCGCACAATTCCTGATACAGCGCTCCAACTCGACGCATACCTTTGCCGCGCGACGCAGGTCTCTCAAGTACAGACACACGTTGGACGCGATTTCGGTCTTGTCGTATACCGACGGCACGGAAAAGACGGTCCCGAGGTGGTGGAGCCGATCGATATGAATATGCGACTTGGCGGCATAGTCCGGGCCCACCTATCGATGCTCCGGAAAAAGGTCGGCAGGCGAACACGCACCGCGATCAAGCTCTCTACTTCGACCAGGAACAGTTTTTCTTGGCGGATCGCGGCGAGCATCGAGTGCGCTTCGCTGACGAGGGTACGGTCGAACGGGATGCCGTATCGAAGCGCGACGACTGCCAATTGATCGCACAAGTCAAGAAACACTACCTCCTGCGGCACTTTGCACAACCATGCTTTGGCGAGCAACTTGTGCATGCGGTCGAAGTCGTCAACAACTCGGCAGGCCAGTTGCCGTTCCGTGTGCCACGATGTGATGAGCCGACTGTCGGCCTCGTCCGGCACGGAACTTGCAAGGCAATTCTTAAGTGCCGCAAGGCCATTCATGACTGTTTCCTGCGTCATGGCCTACGAACGTCTCGCAAGTCAGTGGCGGCTTTGGAACAACTCAACGGACGCGAAGGGTCGTTCGGAGCTTGCACAAGCTGTGGCACAGCTGCAAGGTAGCATGCAACGAGGTGCTCCACTTGTGCCGCTTCTCCAAGGCATCGACTGCATCGTCGACGATCGAGTGGGTCCACGCAGCAAACTTTGTCTGTAGCGTTGCCGCGTCCACGGACGAGTCGGTAATGGCCGCTGCCAACGCGTCGACGGCAGGCGGCTCCGACGCAATTTCCTACATTCACCAGTCAAGAAAGGTGGACGTGGATGCGAACGAGTTACACCTGCAAGACCGCCCGCGCTCTGTCCGCAATGGCCGCGGTCATTAGACGAGACCGCAACGCGCCATCCACCGTTGCGACGTGGATGACCTTGGATCGAAGCATCATGGCGGCTTGAATGACGCCTTGTCGCTCGGCCTGGAGACGGCTGTACTCGGCCGTGAACGCCATGACGTGCGGATTCGACTGCAGGCGCCACTTCTCACAGAGCGCCAAGTCTGCCTCCATTGCGTCTAACACGTTTCGCTCAATGCACGTTGTCAAACAAAGCCTTGCGGTAGGGTTACCAAGATCATGTCGGGGCTGCTGGATGCGTGCCAACAACGCGTTTTGCCGGCGGTGGCGGTCCAGGTGGGCTTCGCCTTCAAGGCATCGTACACGAAGGCGTCGCGATAGGTGCCAGGACGGGTAGCGTATCAAGAGTATTTTGGCGTGTTCGACATGGGCTTTCAAAATCGCATCGTCTGTGGCGGCCACGTGTTGGAGGGTCAAGCAACACTGTCCGAGTTGCTGGCACGCACGTCGCCAGGCCGTGCGTCGCCACACTCGTTGGATCAGCGTAACGGAGGCAGCCTCGACTTCAAGTCGCTTGCGTTGGAGCCAGTCGTGCATCTCGAGTGAGGTAAACACACAAGTCTTCCCGATAGAGAACGCTGCCGGTGTCGGAAACAGCTGAACGAGGTCTGCGCATTTCTCCGCCATCGATTTCCGAATGTGCTCGTCTTGGTCCAGTTTGTCGATTTGATTGCCTGCAATGCGCCGGTACTGGTTGTAGAACCGGTCGTACGAGTCCCGAAACGGATGGAGCCCTCCGTGGTGCAGCGCCAGCGCCTTAAAAATGCCCATTTGCCGCAGCTGGTGGACGACGTACGGCCCGTCGACTACGCCTGGAGTCTACACGACGACGTGATGGAGTTGCTCGTTTGAACATGCGGCGACCCTACTTGGTGATGGTTGGGCTTGATACATCGGATAAAGTGCATCGATGTCTCGTCAAGAACGGCCAAGAGTTCTCGGAGCTGTCGTCGAAACTTGGCGCTCACAGTGGCGTCGCCCCTCGCCGGCGTTGACGCGGCATGCAACGACATTTCTTGGAGCAGCGGCATGCACTCGTCGTGGCAGAACTCAGCGATATCGTCCGCAACGTGATCCTATCGAGAACGATCCAACGTCGAACCACATGGTAAACTTGCTGGAGGCCGTGCCACGACCTTGTTTTTCGCCAAAAAGTCAGCGCAGTCGTATGTGACTGGGTGCGCGTAGTGGACCAGCGTGAATGTCAGCGCCGACTTGGTGGCCTTGAATACGGTCGCCTTTGCGTGCGCCGAGACCAACTTGGCCAGCAACGACGACTCGGAGGCCTACAATTCGATATGCGTTGCATGGACGACGGGGGGCGGCATGTACTTTGGGAAGGGCAACTTCGTCGTCGAGCAGCCAAAAGATGCCTTTGGGCTTGCCGTCCATCACGTCCAGTACCTACGTGGCCACGTGAACATCGTGCTATCGACCGTGCGGCGCCGTCGACGCACCTCGGGTCGTGTGAGCGAGGCACCAGTGCCAGGAACGGCCAGACCTTCTTGCCTGTACCGCTCGAGCGCGTCATCGAAGACCACCACGTGAAACATCTACCGAATTCGACAAGATGAGCGCGACCGCGATGCTCTTCATGCAGGTGTGCCGACACCACCTGCTGCAGCTTTTCGTTGGCAAAGTTGATGCAGAGTTGGTCAAAACCGTTCCGATCAAACGATTCAAATCCAAAGATGTCGACGAGGAGAATGTGGCTACGTGGGGCGGCCGTCGTCGATGTCATCATTGTGTTGTTGATGCGACGAAGCAGCCAGTCGAAGAGTCTTGTGTACAGAGCCTGGGCCTCGCTCGCTCAGCCAAACATATAACGAACGTGGCTGACCTTGGCGAGAGAGTCACGGTTGGACATGGCATTCGGGCCGACCAACGGCATGGACACCGATTCCCCGCGAACTCGAAGTCGACGGACGGTCAGCCGCATCGCGAGCACTTGTGCCGTGCATTGTAGAGCCGCCGCTGCTTCCATCAACCTGCATCGGTTTGATTCGATTGGTAAACATCAAAATCGAACCACGTGGACGGCTTACGCGGGTTGGTCGACCAGTGGGCCACCTTCGAACTGCACGTTGCCGAGGTGCAAGATCCCGTGGCAAATGGCCACGATCCCGTCCTTTTCTGCCGTGCTGAAGCGGAGGGCGTCCAGCGCAGCCATAGTGATTGCCCATGCATTTCTGTCGTCTTGGGTCGGTGAACAGTCCCCCAAGAAGGCAAATTCTCGACAAGGCGCGTCCATGTTGGCGCAGAGTTGATAAAAGATGTGGAAATTTCGCTCGCGGTCATCCACCCGCGTGAGTCGGGACTTTTCCAGCAAGTACGCCGTCACCGTACATCCATCGATTTTTCCCGACGCGTTCACCTGGAGCTTGAGCAGCTTACCTACCTCGACCAGATCACGTCCCTGCACGAAGGCGCTGTAAACTTACCAAATCGAGACGAATTCGCGTTGTGGATGGTAGTGGCATTTCCAAACGCATCCAAGATGGGGCTGCACGCCAGCAGCATGCCTTCCAAGTCCATGATCTGCCCCGTCGTCACCTGCGACGAAATACGAAATCGTGGTCGGAAAGCGACATGTCGGGGCGTACGCTGGAAAAGAACTGCATGCACAGCTTTGTGACTTCGGATTTGCCCGACCCGCTTTCGCCCGAGATCACAATCGACTGCGGTGTCGCCAAGCGCAAGGCGGATTCGATCGTGGTGGCTGCGACCTGGTGCACATGCGGCGGCTGGCCGGCTTGTCCGACTTGACTGTACGTCGATAACTACCCACGATTCCCAAATTCAGCACGACGGATCCTCCTTGCGTCGTACCGCGCAGGCAGGAACTAGCTTCTGAAACGGATTCATCGACACGAGGAGCTTGCCCACGTTGGTATAGATTTGATGGTGGAGAAAGCGCTGCTTAAGACAATGCAGCACTCCCGGTTCGCCCGGCGAGTTCAAATTCACCAGGTTGTCCACGTGAAGTGGCGGCGGCAGCGGCGACTCAACCGTGATCACATCGGTCTCCGCGACCACAATTAAAGCCATCGGGTCATCTGCTGCCCGAACCAAAAGATTCGGAGGTTGGCGTCCCATTATTCGCACGAGTTTGAACGCGTCCTTGGGATTCGCCCACCACGCCAGGGGAACGTCCTAAAGTTGTGTGGGATGATGGTGGCTTGTGCGCCAATGTGTAACTCACCGCATGCGCTTGGTTCGAAGCGTCATCTTGATTCCAACACGTCTGGTTTGGTGGCTGTACGGCGGGCCCGCCTTCGTCAATAATGGAGAATCCATCTCGTGAACGAGTCCCGACGTCATGCTTCTCTGGTGACTCTAGAGCTTCACGTCGTTGCGACAGTGGCGGTGGAGGTCGCGGGATGGTTTTGCAAGGACTTGTGCGCACATGACCGACCTGCGTGGCCCATTTGGCTTTACCGTGCATGGGCATTTTCGCTCGGAGGGAAACCCTGCCTTCCAGCGCGACCTCGACAGGGTCCTCCGCGGTAGACAGCAACGTGGTGTCGTCGAGACGACCAGAAGCAAAGGCAGCTTGCAGCTGCGGCAGCGTGAACGGCCCTTCACGGCCACTTTCGCCTTCGTGTACGAAGTACATCGCGGCCATGGGACTGCGAAACCGGCCTTCCGCCCACGTGAAACCGCCAGAGCCGTTTCAGTGCCCATCACGTTGTTCGTCGCCTCCTCTCCGTCGCCATCACACAAGTGCAGATCACGCATGCAAATACGGGCCTCGCTGCTGACTTTGCAAGCGTGAGCCCTCCGGGTCGTCTCTCTCGAAACGGGTGCATTTGAAGACCGGACGCTCCATCAAACTCGGTTTATGTCACCTCTCCGATCTTGCAGGCCGCGCTTCTTTCGTACAACATGGCATCATTCTAAATGCATTTTAAACACGTTACACGTCCGTCCATCTGTTCCAGTGAAACAAAGGCATCAACTCTACACATTCCATGCCGCTTGACTGACACTCACTTCCCCCACTTGCGAATGCCACATCGTCGTCTTGCGTTGCATCACCACTACGTGTGCTCCATCCAAGGTCGTACGTGTCTTGACTAAGCGAAAACCTGAGCACACCTCGCGCATGATCGCACTTGTTTTCAAACGATAGCGATCACATTCGACTGATTTAAAATGCATTTTAAATCCTCTGCCCTTCACTTGGTGCAAGAAAACATGCAGCCGAATCAAGGCTCTGCCGCAGACACTCTCCGACACTACACTGACAACATCATGCGCTACCGCATCTTCGCCGCGGTAGTCGCCATCTTTTGCATCATTTGCACCGCCGCAGCCAGTGGCCGCGAATGCGATGGAGCAGACGTGTTGCCCCTTGCTTCAGATCTGAGTGCGTGCTTCAACGTGTCCAAGATGTCCCCGACGAATCTTACCCTGGAAGAGTTTCAACGCTCGTGTGTTTACGAGCCATGCCGCAACTTGGTCCGAGGCATGGGGTCGCTGAACTGTACGCTCAACAACGAGCCCGCCTCGATCCTCGGCGGCGTGTGCGACGCAACGTGCTCGTCCAACGTTACGGCAGCCATTGCCCCATATCTCAAGCAGTGCCAACTCGTGTCTGGTGTGACCACATTGACGGCTGCGACGTCTCCAGTCTTTTGCAAGTACGACGTTTGCGTCCAGTACACCAAACTCTTTGCGCCACTGAATTGCTCCATCAGCGGCGTCCCCGCCGCCACCGTCGCCAAGTATTGCGACAACGACATGGCGTCCCGCCCACCGACAACGTCGCCGGCTGTGACCGTCAACTCGACCAGTGAATGCTCGCTGGACGATACGCCCTTAGCCTATCCTGACCAGCTTCGCCAATGCTTGCTGGCCGCGAATGTCAAAGTGTCCCCGACCGGGGCGGCGGAATGGCGCCCGTTGTGTTTGATCGATCCGTGCGCGAAAGCGGTGCGGTACTTTGCAGGGCTGTCGTGCACGGTGGGTGGCACACCAGCGTCCACTTTGGCCAAGGTATGCAACAATATCATCCCTCTGACGTTTGCGCCGACAACGACGGCGCCGCCTACCCCTGTGATTGTATCGACTGCATCCTCGCCAAATATCGTCATGTTGTCCTTCCTGGCAGCCATAGCCATGGCTCTGGCATCGTAGCATCTTTAGGAATCACTACCACCATTGTCCTCGTGTACGACTCGTTTGTGTGCGGCCATTCCTGCCACGATGAAGCGGTAGTTCGAATGTGTGGTCAGCAAGGAATGACTGCATTGCGTACCCCTGTAGACGCAGTGGCACACACAAAACAGCCTGTCGCCGCCATCTTTTACATCTGGGGCCTTCTGTGCGGCGCCGGCACGACACTTAGCCTGCTACACAAGTGTGCCAGCGCGTCCCCCTGTTAAGAAAGACGAACGATGGAGTGGACTCATGATCAATAAATAGAGTTAGCTGGTGTTGCCGCCATTCGATCTGACGGAAGGGTCATCTAGTCGCCAAGGATGATCGTATCTCGCGGCGAGTCAGGGACGTCTCCGAGCATGGGCGTCGAGAAAATGTCCGAGTGTGCGATGCTGCATCCCCGCATGGATTCCAACCACACACTCGGCCTCGGAATCGGATCGCTCTTGCTCTGCTGTTTGCGAAACATGCCATGAGGTAGACCACTGGCCGACGACGGCGGGTTGCCCATCACAGCTGCGTCCGCCATGGCGGATGACCGATGACGTAGCGTCAGTTGGGCTCTCGACGCCGGTTTGAATATTGAGTGCCGGCGTGGTGCGGGCTCGACGATGGGGTACTTGTGGCATGGGGCTGCAGGCATGTGCTGGCACACGGGATGGTTGTGGAGGTAATCCATGGTGGTCGTTCGAAACGTGGACGGAACACCGATAAACTTAGCGACGAGCCAAAACAATTTTGTAGCGTCGCGAGTCGTGATGGCGTTGACGTGGCGCCGCTCTTCGCCCCACTCAAAGTCCAAGAGGAAGCGGACGAGGGTGGTGAGGAACGTGTGGAACCGCTCGACGCGGGCTTGGACGACGACTGCGGACGACGCGTCCGTCCCGACGAAGAGCACCTTGAGCGTCTTTTTGGGGAAATCGAACTCGGCGAGTCGCTGCAACCGCCCCATGCTGCCTGCGTTCGACTCGGTGGGTTTCACCGTTGACGCACGGGCAAGGTCCTGTACGCTGCGCCACAAGAGGCGGAATTGTGTGTACCGCCGGGGTACGACCCAGTGGCCTTTGCCGACCTCATTCACCTGCACCATGTACTGGACATGCCGTTGGTGCCCTGCGTCGCCCGCGTTCGTCGCACACACCAGGACGTCAATGTACTGGAGAAAATGGACTCGACTCGACGCAAACGGCTCGGTTGATCGCGCCATCATCGACTGACCCATTGGGACGAGAAGAACAATTGGAAAATGGCCCGCAATCTCACGCCGCCACCGCCACGACAGTGGATTCCGCCTTTCTGCACGTGTTGGCGGTGGTGTTGGTCGTTTGCTGCGCAAGTTTCGTGGGGCCCCCTATCCGATGGTTGATGGTGTACCCAGTATGTCTTGATTAAAATATAGGTGCACCAGGATGTCGTCAGCCCCCCCCATGGGGACCGTCAATCTGGGCAGTATAATTGCAGATGGAGGTGGACTGTGTTCGGACGTGATCCAACGGCTACATGAATCAAGTCGGTCGGGCGCGCGACGAGATACCCGCCGAACGATTCCCGCATGTTCGTGCGTGTGGTGTCCGCTGGTCAACGCGGCCGTGCCATGCTAATGAAGCCAGGGCATGCAGCAGCTAGGAGTGTGCACGTTGCTGGGGCTCCTTCATCGACGTCAGAGGGACAGACGGTGGCGCCACGAGAGCGCACCGGTGCACGTACTACACGTGTTGCTGCCATCATGCACGCGGTATGTGACAATGCCCCACCGTCGCGGGGCGTCCTTCGAACAAGACTAGAGGACAACTCCACTAGCTGTCGAACGGAAGCCCTGCAGCTCGTGCATGTGCAGGTCGAACGTCGCTCGTTTGTGTCCACAGAGTCGCTGCTTCCGTCGGCGAGTTCCAGGCAAAGGCTGGGTGCTATGCCGCCAGCCCGAGCATTCCATTGACGCCTTTTGACTAGATTTTCCTACTCTCCATAAAAAACGACGAAATCTTTCGATTGGCTACCGTGGGCGACATCCATCGTATCATTTGATATCGTCTACACCTTTTAGCCAATCAGAACGCATGACTATTTGTTGAACGATCTTGAAAATAATTGACCTTGGACAATCCTGTAGGAAGAACCCATGTCAGCTGGGTTGCCATGCGGTGGTGGTGGTGGGTGTGTACCACCAACCCACGACGACGGGCCACGCACCCTCCTTCGTTGCGGTGGATGCACTGAATACCAGAGTGGATGCTTCGTCCGACCATGAGTCATCCCGAACGCGGCAGACGCTGTAGGTGCATAGATGAAACCGTCGACGTTTCAGACGTAACCGACCAATTGACGTAAATGCAAGCAGGAGCGAACACACCATGGGGCGGAGTGCGGGGTACGTCTGTCGGCCAACCCTAACGGACCTCACGCGGTTGCCCGTTTGTGTCGATCGTAGCCGGAAGAGAAAGTCCCATGGCGGCATCCGGTTGAACTCGATCGATGAACCAGTCCAGGACGCGCTGTTCAAGTTGCGCGCCAAGCGAACCTCGTAGGCTGCAGATTTACAAGGGTCGCCATGCTCACCATAATGTCGTTGTAGCAAACTCACGTCGAACCAACGGCGCCTCCTGTCGTCCTTCGACTTGGCGTACAACGCATTACCGACAGAACTCATGACTGGCCCCGACTTAAATCTCTCGGTGGGATATTTCTTCTCAAATGAGTGTCCCGGAAAATGACGAACTCGCAAAAGATGTGGAGCCTCATCGTGCACGACACATGCCTGGAAAAACTCGCAACCGTTCAAGCCCATGTTGCGTGGCCATCGACCAACCAAGTCGCCGACGACGCGACAGTCAGCTCTATTGCGAACCTCCTACCAGGTGGGGATAATCCCGTCATCCTCCGATCGCTTTTCATGCACATAACGGCACTGACCCAGGCACGAAGCGAGCTTCATCGCCGACTTTACGAGCCAAGCCAGCGGCTTCCAGCGTTCGCTTCAATCTGCAAGGAGCTGAGCATGTGAGTGTACCCCGTGAAAGGCGCGGGGTAAACCTGTACATGAATTTGCCGACCAGGTCACAGACGCGGGGGTGCGTCACGCCATTTCATCGTTCTCGGGACGGCTCCATGCACTTAATCTCAGCCGCACGGCCAAGGTGCGGATGCACACCCCGCCTCGGACGGGTTGGTTGAGTTGACTGGAAAGTATACCTCCCACTAGCTGACCGACGACCTCGTGCGATGGGTCGCCGTGAATTGTAAGAATCTCCACGAGATCGACTTGAGCCACATGCCGCATCTCGGGGGCATGGGCGTAGCGGCCATCGGCGAAGCCTGTCCGCTTCTCCACGGTATTGCGTGACTTCTACACAAACAATGTCTAAGCGTCTGCCGGCAGTGTTTTCCGTGCATGGGTGCAAGCACATCCCTGAGTTTGCCCTGCTTAAAGTCGCCAACGGCTGTCCCATGCTGACGCTTTACGACGTCTCCCACTGCTGCCACGTGCGTGCACTCGAGTTCGATCCTCTGGCTTGCAACTCACGTTGGAGAGTTGTAGGCGACTGACGTGGTGCCACGGACACTGGCTGGTACATGCCCCAACCTCCAGCACTTTCACGCACAAGGTTGTAAAGAGGTAAGCGACGTCTGCTCTCGACACCTTCAAGTCCTCGAGTAGATATCGGACATGGGCATTCTGTCCCTCTCAAACGGTTGCCACGACCTGCTCCACGTCGACTTGAGCCGCACTGACTTTCAGTACAAACTTACCGACATGGCGCTCTTGCCGCTGTCGGAGCGCTGTAAACTTCTCCAAGTCTGCACCCCCCCCGCGACCCCGAATCTGACAAGACTTGTGTTTGTAGCACGTCAACGTCGCGGGCTGCGACTACCTGACAGACGCAGGGTTGAGCTGGCTCGCGGCGGGTTGTTCGGCGCTGGCCCACCTAAACGTGGCGCACTGCGTCAAGCTCACCGATTTCTCCCTCCGTGCGATAGCAGACGGGTGCATATGGCTCGAGTTTCTCGACATCTCTGGGTGTCCTCGCATATCAGACGTTGGGTTGCGATACATTTCGACGGCTTGCCGGGAGCTGCACACGCTTCGACTGCGCAGCACCATCTTGATCTCGGACGGGATGAGCCTCGGGCGAGACAATGCTCAAGGGCTTGCTGCGCTCAGTCATGGATGCCAACGCTTGCAGCACCTGGACTTGACCAAGTGCCTCCGTGTGGATGATGTACTTCGATCGCACCCATTGTTTTACCTCTCAATCTTGACGACTGGACCTAGGTCGCATGCAAGCAAATTGCACGCGGGTTTCACGACCTCCGAACGCTCTGCCTCCATGAGTGCTGCAAGGTGTCTAGCGACGGCATTCGCGAGATGGCCCGGCACTGCCATCGACTCACGCAGTTGGATCTGTCCTACTGCCGCCTTGTCGACGACGCCGCGCTGGTTGCGATGGGCTCTTGCAACCTGCCTCTCCTCCAGTCTCTGCGCCTTCGAGAATGCGAGCGTGTTACAACTGCAGGCATTCAGAGCGTCTGCAAAGGATGCACATACATCCACACGTTGGATGTGACCGGTACGGTCGCCGTTCGCCGTTCGTCCTTACGCATGGAGGACGCGACTTTTAGGGTGCCACCGGCTCGATGACATGGCGCTGCTCGCGCTTTCCGATCACTTGATGGACCTTCAGCACCTTTGGCTCGCGGGATTGAATCGCATCACCATCGTCGGCGTGTCGTGGCTGGCCGATCGATGCACCAAACTCATGGAGTTGGATGTGTCGGTACCGTCATTTGGCAACCACATTGTACCCAACGTTGCAACTTTATGTCGACCGTAGAACTCGGCCATTTCGTACGTAGCCCTCAAGCCACTCCGCGCTGCCTGGAAGTATGGCGACCTCCATGAACACCACAAGGCGAGGGGGATTGTTCCGAAGCATCGTGCAGCCGACATGATGTTCTTGGACGATTATGGCACGTGCTGGAAGGCCGCGATCAAGATCCAGGTATAGCAAAGGTCAGAGTGTGCTCAAACCTCTGGATGATGGGGGTAGAGTTTGTATCGGGCCAAGGTCGCCCGACGGGACGCTGCCCGTCGGCGCGAAGAAGCGCTGATCCATTGGGCTTCATCCAAGATGCAGAGTGTCTTTCGGGGCCGGCAAGCTCGAAAGTACGCCGCAGTGCAGCGAATGCTACGACGGCAGCAACATGACGCCGCCACGCGGATTCAGGTGTGGACCGGTCGGCATGTTGCCACGTCATTCAGTTCCATTCGTGTAGGCAGCGTATCGAGCACACGTCGCCCGTACTCTCACGGAGCGCCTCCGAAAGCAACGGGAGAAGGAGCGATACGTGGCCATGGTGATCCGCGTCCAGTCGGCGTGGCGAAGGAAACAAGCGCGCGACATATTCAACTCGAAGCGCATGTTGAAGCTCGCGATCGAGGCGAGGCGCGAGGCGTCGGCGACGGTCATTCAGCGAGCTTTTCGAGCGTATGGGTGGCGCAAGCGCAACTTGCTCTACTCGACGGTGTGCCCCTTCACCACGAAACTTGTTTCGTCACATGATGCCAGGCACTCAAAGTAAAAAAGGCAGAAGAAGAAGCGGCGGCAAACAAACTCCAGCTCCTCTACAAAGGTCGCGCGGCGCGACTCGAGGCCCAGCGAAAACGGGAAGCATTGCGGCTGCTCCAACGAAAGAAAGATCAAGCCGCCCAGTGTTTGCAACGAGTGATTCGCCGGCGGCGGGACAAGCGCCTGCGGCAGCGACAGCTCGATGAAGAAGCCAAACTGAATGCGGCTGCTCAGAGGATTCAACGACGGTTCCGAAGGCGACAAGACATGCTGTCGTACCAACTGATGAAACTCGGCCGTGAGTTTCAAGTGAGAACGGAGGCCGCGCTGCGTCTCCAGGCTGCATGGCGACGCAAACAAGGTCCGACCAGATTCCAACCATGGCCTAACACACTCGTCGGAGCAGGACACATGGCCAAGCACATGCTGCGGGTGCTCAAGGACGAGCAGTACCAACGACGGGTACAGGCAGCCACAAAGCTCCAGACGCGGTGGCGAGGGCGACTGGGTCGTGCGGCCGCACGGGAAGCCCAGCAAGCCGCAATTCAGGTTTTGTGTGCGAAGGGATGTCGCTTCGTGACGGATCGAGCATGTAGCGGTTGGTGAAGCAAGCAAAAATGGAAAACCACTTGGCGACCGTCATCCAGGCGGGATGGCGGGGCCAGAAGGGCCGAAGGCGGTATCGAGAAGCGGTCCATGCGCGGAAGCGGCGGTGGAAGGAAGTACCGAATACGGCGACGGGGACCAAGTGCTATTTTGTAAGCGGCGACTACACGACCCTTCGTTCGAGCTAGCTTATGGTGGGTTGTGTTCCGCAGCACCAAGACACGGGCGAAATTCGCCAGCGCATGCCTCAAGACTTGCTGGATCTGCTGCCCAAGCCCCGCTGCAACGATTGCGGTAACTTGGGCGACGATATGACAACGACGCTTCACCCAGCGCGTGCAGATGTCGAGGCAGCGATGACTGAATGCGGGGACTGCGGCGAGTTTTTTTGCAGCGAGGTACAAACCTTCCCAGTGTGCGTCTGCATTGACATGCCTCGTCTGGTGTTGCGTCGTAGTGCTGGCACGCCATCCACGCCGGCGGTCGACGTCGTCGGCATCGGTTCCGAACGCTGTACGACTACTACGGGAAGCGCATTGACTACGGCGACGGCGAGTTTCCATCAGTGTGGCCATCCGAGATTGCTCAAGACGAGTTGGACGGGTGGTACCTTCGCACGAGTCCATTTCGGGAACCAGTTTTGGTCCTGGGTGACTGGGAAAAGTACGTTGACGACTCGACCCACCGCGAATGGTACTTCAGTCGATCGACCAAAGTCAGCACGTATCTGCCACCACCAGCGTTCAAAGCCACAGCACAGGACATCGCGCTCGCCTGGGTGCGCAAGCAAGATGGCCCGAACCAAATCCCATACTACTTCAACGAGAAGACGGGACAGCGTACATTCGACCGGCCGCCGACGTTTGTTGAGAAAGAGGACGCCGATGCCGCGCTTGAAGTGAAAGGCGTGGAGCAGGTCGCGGCTGGGGTGGAACGCGCTCAACCAACACCGACGGATGCAAGCTCGTATGGCGTTGACATGGGGAATGGTTGGATGCAGTACTGGGACGACACGTACCAAGTCTACTTTTACTACAACACGTACACACAGGAGTCGACGTACACACCACCCGACGGCGCCATGGACAGCATCGCATTGTGAGATTGGAGTGTTGTAGATGCAGCTTAACTTAACGAGCAGGATCGAATAATGCAGCGTGCAAGCTGCGCTGGACGTCGCGTGCATCGCGTTCGAGTTGTGCTGAAGATGTCATGTAGTCGTTGCAATACGCGAGTTGTGCTTGCTTCGTGCTGTCCTGGTGCATGAGGTCAAAGTAGTCAACGATTGCAGCCCCCATCTCGCCAAGCTTGGAGACACATCGAAGCAAACTCGCACGGTCGGGAAACCGGCACAGAAAGTACCGCGATCCTTTCTGGATTCGGGCAACGAGCTTCCCCACGACAACCCTGTCGGGCCTTGGAAATGACCGCTGGAACGTTCCTGGGTCTTTAAAGCATACTGAGTCGTCCTCGACGACCAGGTCGTACAGCTTCTTGGACTGCTTGAGCTTGCTGTCGACTTTGAGCACCAACCTGGCGCGGAAGTGCATTGCTCACGGCGGATTTTGTCGATTGGCGCGTCATCGACAAATGTCGAAGTTTATGGAATTTTCGCAATATTTGAACAAATTCCGGCTAAATTTCATCGTGTTTTCATGAATCGTATCTCCATTCGGCGGAAACCCCTCCCCGCGCACCTTGTCCCCGGTCATGCTTGATGCAGCACACCAACACATTGTGATGGCGTCCTTCGAGGAAAGCGGCAAAGACGAATTCCTGTTCGACACCAAACATCGGTGGAAGTGAGGACACCATCCAACTGACCGAATCCCAGGTGACAAAGCGCATCTTGGTATGTCAAAGCAGTGAATCGCCACCAAAGATACGACGACTGCGGATATGAGGCTCAAGCTAGGACGTTCGCACCAAAGCCGTTGGACGGAGTGTTCGGTCGATGGATAGTGAGGGTTGTGTCATGCGATGCGTTCAACATCAATCCTTCTTACGGTAATGATCGAGAACGGTTCGAGTTTGCAAGACGCCCCCCCGATAAACTCATCACCTTGGTGTCCACTTGCCAAGTCCCGTGCATGTGGAGAATGATATACGTGCCGCAGCTCATTCGACAACACTTTCACATGGGTTCGAAAGCAGCGCAAGCCCGTCACAGCACTCGTGCTGCACATCGTCGCGTCGTCGTGCCCGCGAATCTCATCCTGCTTAAGAATCCACCGTCCTTATTCCATGTCTCGACGCGAATGATGGTGCAGAGTCATCCATCTCAACTCGACGGGTCTTCAGCTCGAAGCGTCGAGTGCCGCATCGTCCCGCCGTGTAGTCCACGACGGAATGCCTCGAACGATGGAACGCGACGCTTCCAACACTGATGTGCAGAGCGCCATCACGATGACAACCGAACTCCAGATGCTGTCATCCTGGCGTCGCGACCGCCGTGCATCGTGCCCAGCACTTGGTCTTCGCCTTGGGCCTCCATGCTGTTGCCCCAAGGATAGGCGCTCCACATCGGGTTTGGATTGACGGCGACGCATTGTCTCGACGAATTGACTTCGCACATCATGGCGCTACACAAAGGAATATCTTGATGGACGCGGTGTGGCGTGAAGATCTCGTGGTGGCATCTGCAGTTGCGCCAAAAATAGACGGACAGTCGCGGTTGCAGACAACTTTGGCATTGACGTCCCCATATATGGAACACACACCATGGTGGCGGCAGGACAGGAGGCATGTCCCAGCGCCCGCCAGTCGCTATGACCAGCTAGTTGAACGTCGACATGTGCTACCTGTGGTGCATCCTGTCGTCGACCATTTTGCCAATATCAAGCCCAAGATGCATCCGCCACCAAAGGAGCCCCGTGCAGAGGGTGTGAAGCTCATTGGGATGCCACCTGTGGTTGAGGACCGACCTCGAGGGATTAGCACGGCACTCAACGGCAGCAACTTCGCTCCGACCCAGCGTTTCGTGCGACACAAAGTATCATGTGTGCACCCGAACGCTATCGCGCAGAGCCAGCGGGATATCCAAGCAAAGTTGGAGAAGAGAATGGGAGAAAAGAAGCATCGAGAAGACCTGGAAGAGCGCAACATGCTGGCGCTGTGCTCTCTGGGCGACAAGTCGTACAAGCGTCCTGAACACTCCCCCGGCTTCTTCAACCTACAGCTGCATCCCCGCCACTTGAACATTGGGAGCAACAACGACGCGATGGAGTCGTCCAGGCGGCAAGCGACAGATATGGACAACGATGACCCTGGTACGCCTCACGTTCAGACCACGTACGAGACCAAAAAGAAGATTCAGATGCTGCTCGAGGAGAAGGCAGGCGTCACGCTGCTCAGCACATCCAAGGCTGGCCAGTTGAGCTGGGAGGACTGTACAGGAAACAGGACGTGGGTCAAGAAGACTTCCAACGGACCTGCACAGGATGGCCGGGACGAGGACGATACTGGATAGAGGAGGATGTCATTGAAAACCCTATCTTATAGAGGCATCTTATACGGATAATATCCGGTATCTCAAGCGGCAATCCATTTGCTCAACAGGATGACGCAAGTGCCGGTGTCCCAGAGCATCTATGAGTTCACGATGGGCAGTGGGCGCGGCAATCCTGTCGTGTACCTGGATATCGCGATCGGAAACGACCCGTTGCGGCGTCTGCGCTTTGAGGTACGGTTGGTACGTCGGTGCATGTTCCTGACACAGGTCAAGCTGTTCTATCCACAGCTCCCCATCACAGTTGAAAACTTTCGACAGCTCTGCACGGGTGAAGGCAAAGACAAGGCCCGCAAAAAGATGCTTTGGTATACACCCCACATGCTCGCAGTGAAGGATGAACATATCGAGGGGGCCACCTTGACGTAGGTACAAAGGGTCCAACATCCATCGAGTCGTCCCGGGCTTCATGATGCAAGGAGGCGACATCACTCACGGCGAGTTGGCACATCCCAGCGTGCATGTCGTCACTGGTCCTATCTACGCAGGCAACGGCATCGGGGGGTCGTCGGCAAGCTCCCGGATGTTCGACGATGAGGTAGTTCGTATTGCCCACGTCACGTGGGCTCATGTTGTCTTTTGAGCAGGGGTTCATGTTCAAGGTGCGGATATCCTCCTCGCACATGTTTCAACATGATTGCACAAGCTGTATAGCACATGCGCGGGACGCTCTCGATGGCCCATCAAGCCAACACGAACAAGTCCCAATTCTTTGTCTGTTTCCGCGATGTACTTGCCGCATATTACACTCGACACCTCACGTTTGCCTAGTGCGGATGGCTGAATGGCAAACATGTAGCATTTGGCCAGGTCATCGCGGAAGATTTGGTCTACTTGAAACACTTTGAAGACGTCGGGTCGTCGACCGGCCTTCCGCTCAAGCCGATTGCGATTGTTCACGCAGGGCAGCTTTGTGGGATAAACTTTGCCGATGCCACGGATATGGCCCAGCCTGGGGACGAAAACGACGGCAGCAACGAGGACGCGGCACTTTGAGGCACCATGTAGCGATAGGTGTTATGGTTGTCAGCCAAAGTTGCGATGGGAATGCGATTTTATGAATCAACGAAAGTCCAGAAGCAGTTTGTGTTTGGGCCACAAGATGCATGCATCAGCATGAGAATTGCATGATCAACAACGACGCCCAACATCCTAAAACTGGTACTGCGCCCCGCTGCTGCTATTGTTGGAGCTGCTGAGGGTCCGTGAGGTGGGTGCCGCACTGCGTCGCACTTTAAGAAGGTGGTCGATCCACTCGTCTTTGACGGCTTGCGACTTGGCATGCAGGTATAGCGTGTCGTGCGAATGATCTGGAAACGCAATCGAAAAGGCTTCGGCAATTTCGCGGTCTTCTTCGATGACCGCGCGGCCGACGTCGATGGGTGGGTCGTCGCTGCGGGACCGTTCAAAGTCGTCCTTCGTGTTGTAGTACCTGCGTGTCTGTCAATACCAAAAAGCCCGGGCGATCGAGACGTACCGAAGTGCGGCTCCCGTCAAGACAAAGTAGCGCTGCTGCCACTTGGAGCGCTGGCTAGAGCCTGACATCGCCCCTTGCTTGATGAGGTATCCAGCAAAGAACTGCGGGCTCTTGTTCGTCGCGACTTCGTTTGCCCGGACATTTCCTTGTTGCTATAAACGCCATCAACGACCAGTCCACTACACGCGATGGCTTACCGCCGTGTCGGCCAACCGACGCATTGTTGCGTTGTGGTTGAGCACATGCTCGAGTTCGTGTGTTTTGTAGTCCAGCGATGCCCTCAACGCGTCGACTTCGCTCTATCAAGGTAAATCGACGGCATCAGCGCCTCGCTTCCGCGACCACTGCAATAGAGCCATGGCAACGTTTTTCACACAAACCTTTGCCTTTCGCTCGGCTTCTTTGAGCGTCAATTCGCATTTCTGCACTTCCTGGGCCGCAAGTTCCTTCATCGCAGTCGCCTGGCCTTGTGCCGACGCCACTTGGAGCCCGGTCGCGTTGGCTTCCGCCTATGTCCGTCACGTCGATCGACGCCTTCCTCGACATGGACGGTACCTGCAGCGTTTGCAAGTGCGCTGTGTGCGCTCGGTTCGTGTCTTCCGTCCATTCCATGACTTGATTAAACACGTTCTGGCTCATGTACTGGCAGTAGGCTGCGTCTGCGGAAGGACCGATCGCGAGTTTGCAGTAGTCGTCGCGCAGGCTCTTGAGATCGTCAAGGTAGTTGAGGGTCCGTTGGTGGTATTCGAGCGGGCCCAGCGACGCCAATTTGGACGAAGCAAACGCGCCAAACTTCTTGTCACTCAAAAACTTGAGCAAGTGCTTGCAATACACCATGGACGCCGCCGCGTTCTTGTGGCGGTATACGTCCAGCACGACGTGCGCCGACGTCCGGAACGACGTCTACTTCACCAAATGCAACATGACGTCGCCACAACAATGCACACTTACTCGAAACTGCTGCATCTCGGGTTGGTCCCCAATGTCGTTCAAGCGCAAGGTGCGGTCAGCGAGTTGCTCGCACAGTTCGTAGATGGCTTCGAGGTCCGCAGAGGACACCGGCAACGTCATGTGCTGGAGTTCGACCGGGGCTTGCCTTTTGGCCGGCACAATGTTCTCCACCTACGCCACCCCTCCATCGTCACGACCACGTTGGCGGCCCCACGACGTAGAATTTGCAGTACCGCTTTTGGCGATGGTACCACAGCGCCAGGCACAAACTTTTTCAAGTTGCCAAACTCATCAAATTGTGCAGTCCCTGATCCTGCGTTGACAACTTGAGCATCGGCAGCCACGGCCGTGGCGTCGGTCAGAATTTCCTCGAAGCGGTCGGCAAACTGCTCCTTGCCTTCGACATAGTCGCCGACGCGAGCGCTCATTTCCTTCTTGAATGTGGCGACCGCTTCGTCGACAGCGTCTTCGCACTGCGCCTGCACGACGCGCGTCCACGCGCTCGAGATCACGGGGGCCTACAGGACCGACAGTCATGCACGCGACGAACCAAGTCGGTCCAACGACGTGACAAGTACCTTGCCGCTGTTGAGCGCTTCGACGTACGATTTGGCGAGGTTGGTAAACATGGCGCCGTTCAGGGCTTTGCCAAAGAGACTTTTGGGGGTGGCTTTTTCAAGCAAACGCTTCTTCATCGCTTCAAACTTGGCGCGGAACTCGCCGCGCAAGTCTCCGTACGGAATATTGGGCAGGTTGCGCAGCTGGGACTCATCTTCGACAGGACGAACCAACGTCACACAATCGCGCTACGTGAACAGGTCGTGAATGGCGTCCACGGCCAGGCAAATGCGGACGCACATCGCGAAAAAAATCGGAGAGCAGCAAGCGAATTTGGTCGCGGCCAGCCACCTCCGCCGACAAGCCGCCCTACAAGTCCAGTCCGTGGTCAAGACAGGGCTGAAGTTTAACGGAGCATACCTGCGGCTTCAGAGCGTTTTCCAGATATTGCTTCGACGAGATCTCCTTTCCCTGATCTTGCAGCTGCAGCGCAAAGTCGCGAACAACCCATAGAAACGACGGAAAGTACTCGTGGAGCGCGGCGGCACTGGACCCGCCGAGCCCTGCTGCCGACGATGTCTGGATGTGCTTGCTCAAGTTCACAACGAGACTCAAGTCCTCGATCGCATTGCCATCGATGACGCCGCGGCTATTGTAGACAAAGTACGACCCAAGAAGCAGCGCGAGCGCAAACAGGCGGGTGTCGTGGGTCTGTTCCCGATCCACGGACCCGATACCTTCGGTGTCGAGGAAGATCACGGACGTCCCGTCCTCCAACACGAGCGGTTCACCCCACATCCAAATGCCCTTGGTGCATGCATTGATCGTTCCCCCAACTGCAAACCCATTGTTCATGTTGGCGGTTCCCGTCGCTGTCTGCTTGCTCACAAGCAAGTTGAGCAGAAACGACTTGCCCGTTCGGTACAACCCAGCTACCGCTACGATCGCAATCTTTCCCTTGATCTTCTCGAGCTTCTTCACAGCCGCCTCCCCGACGTGGAACGATCCATCAGGGTCGACGCGGATCAGCTGCACAGGCGCGCCGGACATGTCTGCCATTGTTCCTTGGCGTGCTGGTCGATCGTTGCAAAGTAACACACCTCTCTTGCCTCACACACATGCATTATTTTCATTTTCGGCTACATTTCACCAAATAGAAATAATTCTTCTTTTATATTACTCAACATCTTCATTATGACATCCCCAACAAGCAAACACGGCAACCATGAGAAGCGTCGACGACGATGCAGTCTGTCCTTAGCCGTGCGCGCGACGGCGCTTTGACCGCTGTGCGGCTTGAATTCGACGTCTGCGGAGCATTGGAGTCGTGGGTTGCTGCGCTCTCGTCAACAGCGACTGCGCTTGGGGAATCATTGCCTCTAACACGACACACCCTCCCTCGGCACAACCACGAGCGTTGGAGATATACACGAATGTATTCGTTTCATATCGAACTACTTCTCTTCGGGTGTGGTCTCACTCGACTTGGTCTGTGGCTGCGCGTTGTGGTGACCCGTCTGCATCTTGGCCTTGATAACCTCGATGTCTGTGCGCTGTCGAACTCGATTGAACGCTCCGAGCCACGACAAGTGGTCCCCTTTATCTTTGGGCCGGGCCTTCACGACCTCTTCCAAGTCGATGAAGGCGTTGAGGGAGAGGCGCGCCATGTCATGGCATCGCTCGGCCGTTTGCCGCGACGACTTGAGTGCTTTCGTGTGGCTCTGGACTTCGTTCTGCACGACGCACGCATCTTCGTACGTGTGGCGGCGACGAGGGGCAGTGTCCGACACCACTTGCGCCGGTAGGTCGTTGACAGTGCGCGTCGGGTCGACCTTGTCTCCATTTTGCTTTTGAAGATACAGCGACAGAGACCCGTCGTTCCCATCTTTCACGGCTTGAAGCCGCGCCAAAATGAACTTGACAATCGCATCTCGCTGAGAAGACGCTTGGTTCTACGCATCCGGTCACGGTGAATAAAACGCCGTCGTCGTCAACTGAAGGACCCACCGCATCAGAGGACGCCTTGATGCCCTCGGGGGACGTCACTGCCTGGAGGATGGCCAAGTCCAAGACAAGGGGCGGCAGTTTCTGCGAAGATTGCGTCATGGTGTGCCGCGTGCTTGAAAGTTTGGTGAGACCAATTACCTTTTTTTGCTGGGCGATTTGGCCGATGACCGTGACGAGGTTGGCGTTGACAGCTTCGTATATATGCAGCTCGAGGGTCTCGTTGACGCGCCAGAACAACTTGGTGCCGTCGTAGATGAGTCGTTGGCGGCAAGGGCTACACGGACGGTCGGATTCGCTGGACAAGCGCTACGGATACGATAACGTGCGGTTGGAACCACGACGGATGACGAAGTGATACGCACTCCACTCATTTCCATCTTGAAAGCGGGGTCCGATTCGTTAAGTGCCGCTCGATGAAGGGGCGAGTGATTTACGTGATCTTCCAGTTTTTTGGCGGAACGCATGCTGATCTTGCACACTTCGCAAGTGAACACGGGATGGTATGGACTGCTGGCACGTGCCGATTCTTGCGACGCCTGCAGGTGGACGAGGGATTATGCACGAGACGGCGATCAAGGGGAGAGCAACAATACCTCGCACTGGGTGAAGATCGTGTTCATGATGCAGTGCCTGGAAGTGAAATGACCGACGACGCCGCAGTCAAGATGGCGGCGGCCGCATGTCGTCAACGCTCGCTATGTTTGGGTTGGTTCTTATGCTGGGGTACAATATCGAACGGTCAAGGAACCTTCTTGAGTACTACTAGTATTACTGTATCAAACAGCAGATGAAAACGTAATTGCAGGGTAAATACTTTATCGAGCGTTTGTACATTTCTGAAAGGCGACACTCCATGGTGGAATCGATGGGTTTCGCGGACGAGCGGCGACTCAATGTTCTTGTGCTGTCAAACATCCGTGGAAACATCGAGATGGTGAACAAGCTCTGCGACCACATCATCCGCCATTACGCTGTCGACGTCGTGTTCGTTTGCGGGAACTTCGTGATGCCGCCCGTGTCAAAAGGTACGACCACGGAAGCGTCTCTCGCCGCCGCAGAAGGTGATATGACAGCCATCTTGTCGCGACTGGAGATGATCGTGTGTCGAGTCATCTACATCCCTGGGCCGCACGATCCGCCAGCAACAAAACGAGCCCATGAGCTCCAGAAACCTCCACGACTGACTCCTCATTCGGTCAACTGTGACAAGGTCAAGGTTTCGCTCACAGCCGACATCGACGACATCCGTCCAGACGAACTTCATGCATCTCGGTGGATGGAGCTCGTTGTGGAAGGGTCGATGGAAGACCATATTCCACTCGAAGTGCGAACGGAATACGCCGCGGAAGTGTTGGACGACTGGAAGAACAACGTGTACGCGAACCTGGCACGTCTTCCGTGGTGCTGCCGCATTGCCCCCAACGCAAAATCGAGAGAAGGGCGAATCGAGTGGAAAGAGAAGGGCCAACTGTTGTTAACACCAGGTACGATACACGCGTCAGCATTGTCTTAAGGAATGACGTGGCGGCCTAGGATGGCTTGATGCCGGTTACTTTGCCGTCCTAACGATCACCCATCGAGACGCCGACGAGAACGACGGTGACGTCGGTTATGAAGTGACGTATTGCACCATCGAGCGAGTGCCAGTGGAAGCGTGATAATGGCGATTAGCGAGGGACGACTAGATGAGACAACGACGGCGCTTGGATGCTGCGACGAAATGGCACCGAGATTGCTCGTGGAGGGGAATTCGAATGCGGTACTCCACCTCGCCCTACTGGAAACGTGATGTGCGTCTCATTTTGGTGTCGATGGGTCATACGGTTGCGCTGGGTGCGGACGACCGTGGCGGCATGCAAGAGTCGACGGTGGAGCATTGTGGTCTCGTCCACCGTATTGTCGTCTTCAAATTGGGGCGTCGGCGTTGGTGTGATCTGAATGATGGAAGGAGGCTTGTGCTTCTGCTGTCGGTGAAACAATTGCCGCTGCGTACTCGATGTTGACGGCGGCAATGGAACCAGGACGCGCTTCGGAGGTGTATAACTTCGATGATGCTTGATGTAACTCGAAGTTTCACGCGGGAGAGGCGACTCGACAGACAGCAAGCCGTTGTCCGCCATCGCAGACGATGCAGCGGATGTGTTCTACCCGGCCACTGAGCTGTTAGGATTGTACGGGCGCAGATGTGACGAAGGCATACCACATGCTTCAAAATAGACTGCAGTGTCTCCTTGGGATGTAGAACTGGTCGCGGCGGTGGCGTCCGGCGCGGCAGGGCGTCGCTGGTGGTGTCCATGGCGCGACAACTCACCGTTTTCGAACAAAAGATCGATTTTCTCGCCTCGGATTGGCTATAAGTATTCTCCAATAACTGAAAATTGCACGACTTGATTGGCTGACTTCGAAAATTTTCCCCACGCGATACAATTGCTACGATGGGAGTTCGAGGAGAATGGCAGTGCTTGATCACGGCCCATGAAGACGCGTCGCAAGATGGAACAGACCGCGTGAATGAGTACTTCATGATGGAAAATCTCGGAAAAGGTGCTTTTGCAAAGGTGAAGCGATGCGAGCGCCGCGTCGAGAACACGAATCCAAGGTCGTTTGCGGCCAAGATCATGTCCAAGTCGGCGCTGCATCGGATGAAGGAATACGTACGAGAAGGCGAATCGATGCGTGTAGTGACTGCACTTGACAAAGTGGAGGCTGAGATCGAGATCATGAGGACGTTGTACCATCGAAACATTGTCCTGCTCTTTGAAGTGATCAATGATCCGGCCAGCGACAAAATCTACCTTATCTTGGAGTACATGTCCAAAGGACCGTGCATGGTGTACACGCCCGCGTCCAAGACATTTCATAGCCCGATTACAGGTGGCCCGTTGACAGAAGAACTGGCGAAGGAACACGTGCGAGGCATCGTTCAAGGTGTCAAGTATCTACATTCTCGAGGCGTGTGCCATCGCGATATCAAGGTACGAGCTCCGTCGGTCATGCCATGTGCTCACTTAGCATGCTAGCCCGATAACATTCTCTTGAACGCAGACAATCGGTGCCATCTCTCAGATTTTGGGTGCGCGCAGTGCTTCCTCCCGACGGACAGGATTACAAACACATTGGGGACTTTTCAATTCTTCGCCCCCGAATGCTGTTCTGGTGATCCGTTCGACCCATTCCTGGTAGATGCATGGGCCATCGGGGTGACGCTGTTTACGTTCCTGTTCGGCGTCTTGCCATTCGACGCACCGACACCGAAGGACCTCTTTGATTCTCTGCTGGAGAATCCCGTCCAGATGCCATCGTCCACCTCGTTCTCGTCTCTTTGCTTGAACTTCCTTCAGTTGTCCCTCCAGAAAGACCCGTCCCAACGCATGACCGTCCTCAGCATGGAGCTCCATCCGTGGCTCGCGGTCGTCGAGGACGACGATGAGCCGCCGTCATTTTGAAGCAGGACTGCCAAAACTAATACACCCCCATGAAACGATGAACCTGTATCATTTCATATTGAACACCCATGGAGTTGCGAGCATCGCTTGTCACCGCGGCCGTCAAGGGCGGCGTCCCCGGGGTGCAAGCTCACATCGACGACCACATTGGAGATCTGCATGCCTACCTCACGTGTGTTTTAGACGCACATGATCTACCGGCCAATGTGAAGCGTATAATTTGGAGTGGAATGGCGCATCGAGCCTCAACCTTCCAACGCACCATCGACGCAATCCGAGCAAAGCATGCCTTGGCGTTGCTGTCGGCTATTGAATCCGATCGATATATAAACCGACTCGCTCAAATCGTGTTTCAATTGGAGCGATCTCCATCTCAACTTGTCAACAGTGTCGACGACACGTCGGTCATTGCGCCAATGACGCTACCACCGCCGACGTCTCCCGTCAGCCGCGGCAAGCGCGTCACAAGCATCGACGCCACAGAGAGTTTTCAGTCCCTTTCGTCTCCGAAAAGAGCCAAGCGATGTGACGAGGACAGTCCACTGGAGCCTTCGCCAACACAAGATGTCGTAGACGACATCACCGACCTTGCTTTGAGGATGAACCAACGCGCCACACGAGTGGAATCCTCTCCGATACCAGCCGAACCCACCAAATCTTTTTCCGTTGCTCCATTAGTCCTTCCTGACCAGGTACGTGAGTGACACTTGTTCTACTGGAGATTTGATAAATGTGTCAGATCGTCAACATGGTCTCCGCCATCGAAGCGACCATGTCGGCCACGCCCGCTGGGGCCCCGAGTGATATTTGCAATGCCATCCTTGAGGCTGGAACTGCGTTGCTACAACTCCCCGAGCACGCGTCGACCTCGCACCTAGACTTGCTATGCAAAACGCTGCCACTCGCTGACCTCCTCGACGACACTGTTCTGCTTCTGATCACGTAAAACTTCATATCTCCACCGACATGTTCGTGAACCTGTGCACGGTCTAGAAAGCTTTTGGACGCCAAATGGACAGGTCAAGATGCCGCAGTAGTCATTGAGGCGACGCTGGTCGCCCGAATCCAGACTGCCACCACCGCGATCCCTCGATCTTTGCTCAAGGCATTGCAAGCGGTAGCCTCGGCCCTTCCCCACGTCGCCATTGGTACCATTCTCGTTCCCATTCTCACAAGTCCACATGCGAATGCGGCCCAATGCGAAGCCATGACTCGGCTGGTCCGCGACGGCCTCGGCCCTCAACAAGTGCCAGTGATCATCACCCGATTGCTTGAGGCGAAAATCCTTCAAAGCCCACACGATCGCGTTCTCCTTGTTGTCCAACAAATCTTTAACGTGAAAGCGCAGCTCTCTCAGGTGTGCTGTCTGGCCTTCCTGGAAGTTCTGGATTGTGATTGACGTCGTCATTTACAGGAAGTTATCGACCAAGTCGTCGACAGTCTCGTCCGAGCCGTCGCAGACTCCCCTGCCACAACCACAGTCTCGGTCAAATTTGCATCGGTCTTGTTCACGCTTGTCACAAAACATGGACCGCTCTGCGTGCGTCACCGCGATACCTTGCTCACCATCGCGTCCAAATGCACGTCAAGCATGGCGAAGACTGCTCTCCGCGCGATCGACAAGCTTGCTTGATGTGGCGCTGGAGGTTCCAAAGGAAGTTGCCTCCACGGCAGCAAATGCGTTGAGTGAGGAAAGATGGTTGTGATGGCATTCATACAGTGAGGAAAATCCGCCGCTTGGCCACAAACGTCCTGCTTCGCTCTCGTCGGCATCAAAGCTGACGATGACGGACAATTCAAACAAATATCCACGGTCAAGATGAGTCTGCTAAGACGAGTTGCCGAGCCCCTCCATGTCGTGAACCGCACAAGACGCAATTCGCTTGAGAGACGGTAGCAAGACGACCAACATGAAGTGCGATTCCAGAAATTCAGAGTTACTTGCCAATGCAAAAGTCTGCAAAAAGGACATCCAAAATGTCTTCGACGTCGACACGACCGACAATCCGTCCCATGCACGTCACCGCGTGGCGCAAGTCTTCAGCGGCCAGCTCCGCCTGCAAGGAGGACATTTGTCAGCAGAATCGACAGGTTGTTGGGCTGTGCTGCTGCACCTGATAGGGATGGGCTAGAAACGCGCCCAAGTGGGCGACGCTTGCTTGGAGATGCTGCCTGTGCCGCTCTCGCGTGATAATCACATTACTACTTGCATTATTGTCGTTGCGATCAGTGCCAAATACTCCTCGCACGCGCTGCTGCAGGGTCATCAGAAACTCGTCAACCCCGTCGCCGGTCGCGCAGGACACCGCACACACGACTGGGGCATGGGCCACCGCCTAGAGGAACCCCGTGAATTTTTAATAAGAATGCATGATGCAGCGGGTTTGTACATCCAAGAGGGCTGTGGACGGGGGCGTTGCGTCGATCTTGTTGAGCACGACAATCGTCGAAGGGTCGATGAGAGAGATGAGAGCTGGGTCGACTGCCCCGTCCTGGACATCCACGACCACAAGTTTCAGTTGCGACTCGTCGTTACATCGAAGAGCGCGATGAACGCCCTCCCGCTCAATCACTACCGCGTCCGTGTGTGTCAGCCGAGGCGAATGCACGTAATGGTAACTTACCGTCGGTGGTGTCACGGATACCGGCTGTGTCGTGGAGCACGACGGGGTACCCAGCCAAATTAAGTGGCACTTGAACGACATCTCGCGTCGTCCCTAGGATGTACAAGGAATTGGCCGCTCTTCATCGCATTTGGCCATGGGAGAGCAATCGGCCGTCGAGACGGTGCAAGGGCCAGCATACCTGCTATAGGTGACACAATGGCAGCATCGCGTTGGGCGAGAAGGTTTAGCAGAGTGGATTTGCCAGCGTTGGGGGAGCCGAGAATGGCCACGTGGACGCCATGGCGAAGGATTTCGCCGCGACGACCGTCTTGAAGATGCCGTTCGATGGACGTCTTCAAATCACGTACGCTAGAATATAACGGATGGTCAGCATGAATCGAGAATATTTGTCAAATTCGTACGTTTGAATCACAGCTTCGTAAGCTTCATCCGTCACGTCATCTTCATCTTCGCCGAAATCAATGAGTGCTTCCGAGTGTGCCAAACACCGCATAATGGTGTGCCGCCATGCATCGTACACTTGGCCAATCGTGCCAGACATCTAAGTGCCCAAGAACGATCTAGAATCAGCCAGTCCAACGACGCGAGGTACTTGAGCTAACGCTTGAGATCGTTGCGCTTCCGTTTCAGCGTGCAAGAGATCTGCGAGACCTTCGACCTGATGGAGTGCATTGGAAGGGAGTTTCACGGCGAAGGGAGAGCGTACCTGCATCAGGTCCATCTTTTGGTTTTCAAATGCTCGCTCCGTGAATTCGCCCGCCTCGGCCGCGCGATAGGTCTATGGAGGTCGACACCTGAGACATCATTCCATACCATTCATGGAACAGTACAGGGAGTGTGCCAAGGGCTTGCAGCACGCCCGAGATCACCGGCCGACTTCCATGCAGGTACAGTTCGACGCTGTCTTCTCCTGTGAAACTGAATCACAGGGATTTGTCGATGGAATGAACAGGTCGACGAACCTCTTAGGCCCAGGGAAACGAATTGCTATCGCAGTGTCCAAAAGCTCCTTCGTTGATGGATGTGTGATGTCCCGTCGGGTAGCTCTATCCATGATACATTTGGGAATGCGCATATCAATCTAGCACATACGTTCGTGGAGGCGGCAATTGCTTCGACGTCATTTGAAGCAAGCATTGGTCTGCCATGGGGCCAGAGATACGAACAACCGCAACACCCGATCGGCCTTCAGCCGACGATAGAGCGTAGATGGTGTCTTGTGACGACAGATATCGGGCGTGCATGCACACTAGCGCGGCTCGCCATCCGGTCGTTGCTCCTCGTCGCGACAGCATCCTTGTCGAACTGATGGATTATTGCGCCAACCAGGACGATCGGCCAATCACAACTCGATCTATTCTGTTAATTGAAGTGCATTGATTGGCTCATTTGACCAAAAATTGACCTTTTTTTACCTTCTGCACTCTATGTTGAAAAAGCGACTTCCGCGGCAAACATGCTTTTGCGCATCCTCCATCACAGCTCAGTGCACCGCGCCTTCATGTCCACTACCGCTGCTTTGCCCGTCCCCCCGAAGGCTGCGATCTGCGTGATTGGCAATGAAGTGCTCAGTGGAAAGGTACGTGTTGGAACGACGCTACTTGGCATGGAAAGCACGTCTCATTTCTCGAAGACGCTTGACACAAACAGCAACTACCTGTCCAAGTTTCTCTTTGGTCGCGGGGTCGACGTAGTCCGCATTTCTGTCATCCCAGACGAAGAAGATGTGAGTACTCGCTTGGATCTCTGTCACCCTCTGATCTTTCCATGTTGAAATACAGGTTATCGTGGACACTGTGCGTTCGTTTTCCAACCTCGTCGGCCCCAACGGCTACGTGTTCACCACAGGTGCGGTCATACCTTCGAATTGGCATTAAATTTCCAATGTCAGGTGGAATTGGGCCGACGCACGACGACATCACCTATGGTACCACAAAATCCGCCGTCACCTTTTGCGTACTCAAGTGCTTAAGTAGATAGCATTGTACGTCACTTCCCCGTGGACGCTTCCCCATGACGCCATTTCAGGCAAAAGCGTTCGACGTTCCCCTCGAATTGCATGAGCCCACGAAGGAGGCACTGCGTCAGTATCTCGAAGGAGAGCACCGCGGCGACGATCTGAACTCGGACCGCCTTCGAATGGTCACGTTTCCACAGGGTAACACAGCGGTGTCTGTGCCACAACCTGACTTTTCGTGGCCATCCAGGCTGCGAAGTTTTGACGACGTCAACGTGGGTTCGTTTACCAGACATGCACGAGTTGCCAACTCAACCTGTTGGAACCACTAGGTCCCGATTGTGAAGATGCGCAACGTGTACGTGTTGCCAGGCATTCCTCGGCTCATGAAGCAGATGGTCGAGTCCAATGTCGACCATTTCAAGGGCATTCCAATTCACCAAGCTATTGTACGCCACCCGGGCTCACCGCCATCGTCTTCTTACCACGTGTGCGATAGGCACGCACGAAGAAGCTCGAAGGGTCCATTGCCGCCCCGCTGAAAGCTGTTGCGAAGCAGTTTCCATCCGTCATGATTGGAAGCTATGTCAACCTCAAAGGTGCAGTGACCGTTCCCCGTGCGTGGCTCATGCGGTAGTGGTAGAGGAAGCCGTGGCCTTTGAAAATCGATCGTACAACGTCCAAGTCACGCTTTACAGCCGCGTCGGCAACGACATCCGCGCCGCTCTGCCCGCCGCCGTCGCCGCCATTGAAGGGTGGGTGCATGAAGATGCCACCGTCGCGTAGCGAAGCGTGGCGGCGTTTCAGGATTTGGAAGTCGAAGATCTTTACGCTTGTAATTTGTATGAAAAACCGAAGTTTCCAACTTCGATGGTTTCGAAGCTTACGTAGTACATGTTTTCTGCATCATTGCGATGGAAGCACCCCGAACGGACCGCCTCTTGGACGCCCCCGACGATGAGGACTGGACGGCCGACCCGTGCATTCGGGAGTCGTACGATGCTTTCCATGTCCTTGCGATTCCATCCACGTACACTGCGTTTCCCGACGCATCCAGTCCGGACGGAAGTCGCGTCGGCACGTGGGAGTACCTCGTCCAGCACTGCGCAACGGGGTTCATGGACATCTACGCCGCCGCCTATATCTTTTGGATTCACTTGATGTCGATTGAAACAGTACGTCGTGTCTTCTCACGGCACGCCATGATGCGGCCCTTTGTTCGCTCGTAGATTCTTGTCGTGGTCGTGGCGGGGGTGACGACGTCGGGTTACTACTACATTGGCATGCAAGCAAACGGAACTTCGTTTGGCGCCAACCTTTCTTGGACGCTCGTGACGTTTGCTATCATTTCCCCCATGGTCCGTCGATCGTGTCCTCCATCTTCTTCGTGACTTTCACCCGCCAGATTATGCAAATCCGGCAAGCGTTCACCCGTCGTGAAACCGCGCTGGACGCGATCGCCGAGCGTACGACTCGTTCGTCCTCCATGTTCTGCTTCATGTGACTTTGCTCGTAGTCAAAGCCATCACGTCCAACGTATTGATGGCCAATGCCATTTGGGACTGGGGCAAGAACGAACGCGTGAAACTCGCGCCGGATCACGCATTGCGCACCAAGCGGATCCTCAAAGGAATAGCGTCGGACGTGCGACGCGTATTGATGCTGCCAACTTTCACGCGAGGCCGGCATCGCTTTACAACGTCTGGAATGGACGAAGCGAAGGAGTTCACACATGCCTTCCACTACCTGTGTCGACGCATTACGTTTTCGACGACGCTGCTTCATCGACAAGTCGAGCTCATGAAGGCGGCGGGGCTGCCTGCCAACGAAGCATCTCGCATCAACCAGTACCATTGGTTCATCCAAGCGCGCATTGAAAAGCTGTGCAACATCAAGGTATGCATCGTCGTCGGCAGGTTCGTTTCCTCACCCGCAGTCGTAGCTGTACCGAACCCCCCAAGCCACGCGATCGTTCACCCGCCTCTGCATCCTCGTGCTGCCCCTGTTCTACGGCCCGTACTACGTTTATATTGCCACGACCGGCACGAGCGTCCACACCAACTTTGCCTTTGCGCTGACGTTGAGCTTGGCAACCAGCTTGATCATGATCGGGATCTTCAACGTGGAAAAGGCGCTGGAGGATCCATTCACAGAGGAAGGCCTGGATGGCGTCAAGGTCGAGCGAGCCATGCAACGCATAATGGATGCCCTGGACGTTATTCTACCTTCTTCCGAGCCCCCCTCCAAGCCTTGCCTGTAAGCTGTCTGGTCGGCGAACGCAATGCCACGGCACAAAGAGCGCGCCACCAAAGAGCATGCCCGTCCGCTGGTCTCAGGTAGCTTCCCACTGGCAAGACCGACCTCCATAGAATGCGATGCATGAAGCTCGTTCATATGTACGTCAAGCGCATTCGACAAGTCTATTCGGCGGTCGGGTAGATTGCGTCGAAGGCGTTGAAAATCCGCTGAATCGCAACGTCGATCTGGACGCCATCCAGGCCTTCCTCTGTGAATGGATCCTCCAGCGCCTTTTCCACGTTGAAGATCCCGATCATCGTGATGCTGGTCATGGCGCTCAGGACTAGCGCAAAGGCAAAGCTCGTCTGGCCGTCGGAGGACTCGATCAGGTAGATGTAGTATGGGCCGTAGAAGAACGGCAGGATGAGGATGAACAGCCGCGTGAACGACCTCGTGGCCTGCGGCGTGCGGTACATCTACGCCAACACGTCATGCGCGCATTGGCATCCATCGACGATGGTACCTTGATGTTGCACAGCCGTTCGATGCGCGCCTGCAGGAACCAGTGGTACTGGTTGATACGCGATGCTTCGTTGGGCGGGAGCCCGAGGCCTTTCATGACTTCGACTTGCACGTGGAGCTGCTGGATCGCCACCATCATGCGCTGCAAGATCGCGTCGACGTGCCATTGGTACTGCACAGCCAAGTTGACGCCTCGCTTGGTGAGCCGATGCCGACCACGGGTAAATGTCGGGAGCTTCAACAGCGAGTACAAGTCGCTAACGAGGCCGCGCAGGAGCAGCTTGGCCCGAGGGTTGTGTCCCGGAGGAAGCTGGGCACGGACGTTCTGGCCCCAGTTCCACGTAACGTTGGCGAGGAGGACGTTGGATGCGATGGCTTTGACTACAAACGAATCGTGAGTGGACGATGGGATGTGTCGATGGAAAGGTTCCGTACAATCAGCCAAGTTGTCGAGGGCATTTTCACGGCGGAGGAATGCTTGCTTGATCTGCATGATCATGGGCGATACAACAGCGAATGTGATTAGCATCCACGATAGGTTGGCGCTGAAGCGATGCGACGATGACGACGACGTTGTTGCGGTGGCGTCGACGGACAAGTAGTAGTACCCCGTGGTGGCGCTGACAGATGCGAGCAGGACAAGGACGCTTTCGAGGCCCATGAGGTGTTTGAGAAAGATCAGAGTCGCAGCATACAAGTCGAGGAGCGTATCGCGGCAATGGGCGCCGACGGACGTGTCCTCGATGATGGTTGGTTTGGCCGAGTAGTCGAGGTCGATCGTGGAGGCATGCGGAATCGGCGGCAAATCGGAAGGAACTTCACGGCATCGACGATGCGGGGCGAACGCTGTCGACACCAGCGGGTCTTCCGTCCAGTCGGCGGCCAACGGCTCATGCAGCGACATGTAACTTGAGCAGTGGTGCCGCATCCAATGCATGAAACGGTAAAACCCTATCCCCACTCGCCGATCCCCTCCGCCAAGGATGCGGCGTCGGCGGGAAAAGCGCGAACAGGGAGAGAGTATGTCGATGGACTGAGGTCGCGATGGACACGGACGGCCGCGGTGGGCTCTGTGCGCCACAGCGACCGGCGTCGAGGATTCAAGTCGACATGGAGTTCACGTTGAAAAGTGGCAATACAAAGAGCAAGATACAGTAGTTGCTATTTTGTGGAATGTGAATCTCACATGCCAACGCCAAGGAAAACCAACGTGCCGCCGCCTGCCCATCGAGGAGAACTTCTCCCGTGCGCTTCAAAGGAGCTGCCATGCCATGGCAGAGGACCTGTCTGTCGTCACATCGCGAAGTCGTCTTGCTCTCATGTTTATCCAGCCACACGATGGATGCCACGAGTTGCGGCATTTCCCGTTCGTCTTGGAAACCCATCCTGGTAGACTACTTCAGCAGGCAGTAAGTTGAGGGTGCGCACTCCCCGTTATGCAGCATGGAGACGAAGGGGCGACCAATAGGCCAGGAAGTGGGTGGGTGTCAAGGGTCTTCCACGAAGCACAGCGTAGCCTGGCTGCAGGTGGCGCCCATCACAAGAAAGGAATTCGTTGGCGTGTTTGTTGGTCTGCGCACGACACATTCCTCCGTCTCAACGAGATATCGCCACCCAACCACCACATCGCCCCATCCACTACCACAAGGTTCTCTCGACATGAACTGCGCCCTTCCCCACCATCGCCATGCAGCCATCGACATCAACACTCGATACATGATAAAAGTAGTCGCATGCACCACTGAAGCTCCGTGCCCTGATACACCGCGACCATCGGGGAATAGCACGTGGACACCGCGGCGTGCCATTGCTCCTTGGTTTCTGGGTGTTCGCCGTTCGCTCATGACTTTGTCATATATTCCCCTAAATAATGCAAAAATCACTGCAACAATACAAAAATGACTCTGCTTTGTGATGGTTTTCCTGCGGCTGCCGAGGCCACGGCGCCGTCGTACAGCTCCAACGGATGTGCGTCATTCGCGAGGAAGACGAATCTTGCATGCTTACTATCACAGAGTAGATGTGCTCTGGCGTCCGTTCTTGAGTTCGAATGGGCTTGCGTTCCTCCGGCATCAAGTTGACCGCGTCTTGGCTCGGACGCAGTACGACCCCTAGATGTGCCTCCACCCCCATCCACGGCCTCGTTCCATCTTGTAGCGCATCCGTGTCCACCGAATGGATCATGAATGTTCATTTGCTCGGGGAATCGTGGCTGCTCGATCTCGTACGTCGAAGACCGCAGTCGTTTGAGGCAATCCTGACGAACGATATACCAGGCGATGGAAAAGCACTTGCTGGATGCTGTCCAAGTACCGACATAATTGTCATCCACGGCGGCAGCTGACGCGAACTACTCTAGAGATTTTGCGGGCCTGACATCACGCTGCTGCAGACGCATTTGTTCTGTAAACCCCAAGGGTAAGTCTACCACCTGCATCCCTTGCCTCATGCGATGTCGGTGACATCGGCCGTCGTCAGCTGTGCGCCAACACCCTGGCATCAAGACGGTTCCTCGGACGTGGACATAGCGTTAGCCACCGTCTGGTGCATGCAAGTACATCGCTGGCAAAGCTAACGGGTGATTCACTAGGATAACCCTGGACGACCTCGTCGCTCCGTTCTCGGGCGCTCTCGTTGTCCTGCCAGGCCAGCACCAGCTCACCCTTTTGCCAGTACTGTCTATAATCTCCATGAATTATTGCAGCTCAGTCTGTCCTGGCTAGAGCGAAGCCAGCGACCATATTCAGTTTGACCGCGTCCTTTCTTCCGCTTTCGTCGACCAGCACAAGTCGTTCCGCTACGGCCTCCATGCTGGAGAAGTACGCACAAGACTACCGTTCGAATTGACGTTTGAATCGTAGGCGGCTGTGCACCATCAATGGCTCCCCCACGCTTCGGAAGGAAACACAACTCTGCCGTACCGCCGAGTCATTGTGCTGCGGTACATCGCGACGTCCGTTCTGGAAACGGAAGCGGTGGCGCTCTGGCGAGTCTGCCCAGGTTGACAACGGCGGGCCTCCATGGCGAAGCGATGCAAGAGTTGAACAGTACTGTAGGCGGCTCGTTGGTCCGGGTGGCACAACAGGATGGCGACAGCAACGAAAGGGAGCTCTATCCCGACTTCCGCACGGTCAACAAGTACTTCGAAGGGCGCCACGTGTGCATGCGTGGAAGGTTTGTAGATGCCGTGTGCGAGTCGAAAGCTCGTTAGAATTGTCAGCTTGTTCCGCTGTGGTTGGCCATGTCGGTATGTCTATATGGTCTAGCGTAAATTAGGACTGGAGTGGCTAGCCAGCGGGCTGCACCCGACTCGCATCATTATGTGATCGAGTGGCGATTGTACTGCGGTCGCATGTTGAGCTTTGGGACTTCGCGCTTGAGTAGGTCCAGCAGCTCTAGGTCGGGGAATGTGCTTGTGATGTCTCGGGATGCACCAAACGCTTTGTTTTTCCCGACGCGCAGCCATCCCGCCGGGTTCTTGACTTTACTCCATAGCTCTTGCTTGATCTCTCGCACCAACAAGCCTCGACTAGACTGCTTGGCGAACTGCCGCTCCATGTCGCGCATTTCCTGACGATCGAGCAAGTCCAGCAGCTCCCCCTCTCGCACTTCATGCTCCTTGTTGCTTTCGTCGAGCTCGCTGACTTGCTTCTCCAGGTCCGCTATCCGCTTCTCGATGAGCGAGGTGTCGCCAAGGAGCTGCAACTTGGCTTCAAGCTCTGCGAATCGTAGGTCTTTCTCGGTGTTGGCTTGGACAAGCTTGGCGTGTTCTTGTTCGAAATGGCGCGCGCGGTGCTTGGCGAGGATGAGCTCGTCCTCGAGTGCACTCCGGAGCCGGTGGGTTTCGTCCAAGTCTTTGATCGCTTGGAACTCCATGCTCATCCGCGTGATCTCCCACAAGAGTTTGGCGCCTTCCAGGCTTCGCACTTTGTGCTTGAGTTCACGGCATTGACGCTCCAAGTCGTGGATGATGGCGTGCGCGTCAACAAGCTCGGATGTCGCAGCATGGCCGGAAGCCATGTCGTGCAAATGCAACTCTGTGAACGCGCCGAGGTGGTGGATGTGGTCAGGCAAGCCAGCGCGGCCATCTCCGCCATGTGTGTGCGTTGTCGCTGGCGAGAACTTGGCCATTCGTGGAAGCTGTCCAAACCTGACCTGGCCAGGAAGGCCGCCATCTGTGGTCGAAACGGGCGTTTCGTTTTTTATTTTTCGCTGTCACGTTCGAAACACGGTGATCCATTGAATCGTTCAATTGGATTGGCCGATGATTCAAGTTGAGTGTTCGAAACACGTTGCCCAACCGACCCTTCGATATAAATAGAAGCCAAAAAATCGAACCGAGAAGTTGCAAATTCCAGCGATATCTCACGCCCGTCGGACGCGCCTGTTGGGATGTGGCGCGGCCACCCCGGCAGCAGTCGAGACGGCGGCATGGCACAGACGTGCCCAGGGGTGGGCCCAGCGGTTGTCGCCATGTTTGGCATGACCCCACCGTTCCACGTCATGAACAATCGTTGGGGGACTGGTACCACCAGATCGGAGGGTAGAACCGATGGCGTCGGGTGCAAGTGGCAAGTGGCGGCCCGCATTCTCTGTTGGATATCTGTCCCAGACGCAATCACCACCGCAGCGAGATCATCCACAATGACTGGCCATTCTTTCGCCTCGAGATTCGACAGTGAAAAATGGCCATTGGCTTGGACGCCGCTAGTTCTGCGGCACTGAGATCGACTGTGTTTTCGTGGCAAGTCGAGGCTTGTTCGCCGCGACAGGTTCGCACTGTACGAGCACCAGGCATCGCCAGGCATCGGTAGCTTCTTGATGGGTATCCCCACCCGTAGCGGTAGCTTGCTTACAAAGGCAACGAAACGACGCGGTGACACATGATTCCTAATCCCTTTGCGACTCGACCAGCCACAGCCCAACGAGAAGCGCCATGACCTGGCGACTCGATGTGGTTGTCATAGTCGTCGAATGCCCTAAGCTAATCCAGCCTGCGCCTTCTCGCGATGCCCATGGCACAACTACCTGCGGGCATGCCCCAGAGCACCGACAGGCGGAATTAGCAGTATAAACAAATCCCGAAATTCAGCGCGTCCTCTACTGTACCCGGGATCGCCAACATGCACACGAGATGACGCTAGTTGGTGAAAGCAGCGCCGCCAGCCCACCCGACACGACTCGGCTTGCCAACAGGCAGGTCGAGTCAGACTCACCAGCAAAGAAAGATGGCTAGATCGGTCAGATTATCCTACGGTCACGCTTGTGTATCGACGACTGCGCGGCAAGTGCTTCAGCCATCATTTTGTTGGTTGCCATTGGCAGCGGCAGCACGGCGCGGCTGCGATGGGCACTCGAGTTGGGGGCCATTGGGGGGCGGGATGTTCCCAGTGTATCCTTCACCACGCGCTTCCTTGCTGCCACCATCCTGTGGACGATGACGTGGTCCGGTTTCATGGAGAAGTACACAGCTTGCGCCCGCTCACGTTGGCGCTGCCTTGCGTCTAACGCAGCAGCAGCATACTCTTCGAGGAGCGCATTGCGACGCTGGCGTTTCAGAAATCCGTGCAGTCGCGCCAACGCCGTCGTCAAGTTTCGGTGGCGCACTCGGTGGACGTACCATTTCTGGAGCCTCGTCGCGGCATGCCACCGCCGGCTGTGAAACAAGTAATGCCGAGCGAGACGTTGAATTCGCATTGCATTTACGTGGGCACGTACAACGAGTCCCTTTGCATGCCATGTAGCGACCAGTCGTGACCAACTAGCACATGCAGTACCTTGATGTGGCGGCAAGCTTGCCGGGCGAGACGGTGCCTTCGGGCCAATCCCAGTCGCCGTATTCCTTGCGCTCTGCGAAACAACCATTCTGTTCTTTTGATTCGTGCGGCCCACATCGCTGCACGCATGGTCTTCCTTGCTACGTGCCCTCGCCACGTCGCTTGAAACAAACTCGCGCCTCGGTGCCACGCCGCCAGGAGCTGCTGCTGCAGCTTCATCACGGTCAACGTTGACCCTTCAATAGCCGCTGCTGCAGTTTGTAGCTGGGTTGCGCTGCAGTACCGACGACGTTTGTCGTCGACGCTGTACTGGACCAGCGGCGCCATCGTGTCGAAGTAAATGTGTCGATGACGTTGCAGGAGCGCGAACCTGTACAACACGTCATGGATCAGAACCCGATTCGAATGTCTATCGCTTGTCGATCGCACCACGCTTCTTCAGCTTCCTTGTACCCGAGGTCGAGGGATGATGTTAGATAGTCGGGGGAGTACGTAGCCTGTTGGAGGACATGGTTGCGCGGCAGCGCCGACATGTCGACACCTGCGCGCAGTACTATTATTAGCCGAAAGTTGTTGGGGAGAGAGGCTGGAGGTCACCTTGGCTGGCTATGTACCGAGCCAACAAGGCAGGCTACACCCACTTCGACGAGCGCAACGTTGGCGGTCGGAGCCAGGTTGGCGCCGAACTGAAGCGCTTCCAGGCCGTGATGGTCGCGCCGAAGCCATCCCCCCAAATTACCCCACGAGATGCTGCTCCATACGGTCCGTGTGTCTTTCCATTGTAGGGATCGTTCACCGCCACCGTCATGTTTCAGTGTACTTGCACGCGAGGAAACGTCCTGAAGTCGACCATTATCCGCCACCTCCATGTACGTGCCGTCGCCGTGGGCCACGCCAGCTTCTAACGACGTCAGGTCTTCCGCCGGGTTACAACCTCGTCAACAACATGTACGATCGAGTAGAGTTGATCAAGTCATTGGCCCTGGACAAACAACTCCCTCTTGTGTGTGTGCAACTAGAGACGCAATCTGGAAGTGCTCCTCGTACCAACAGCGCCAAGACTACCGCGACCACTGCCAACGACTGGCACACTTGACACAGCACATCCACGAACACAGCGCCCACGTACGACCCTCCGTTGCGGTGGCCATTCAACGCGGCGATACCTGGTCTAGAGCCATATACGACGGAATGCCAGGCTTGCACACACGAATTTCCCAGCCATGCACCCCAACACTCGGCAAATCGAGGTCGGTGCATCGCTAACGCCATATGTCAAACTCGATGGCAAACCCAGAAGCGACCTAAACTTCTGTTCAGAGTCCGAAGCCCCCTCGTGCGGCCCGTCCCCGCTCGTGTGGACCCACGATGCGATCGGGAGCAATGTCTCTCGCAGTGCGGTCGACTGCCCTCCCCGGGACGCCCGTCGTCATTCCAAATAGCTCGAGCAGTAGTCAGTACCGCCACAAGCTGCTTGCGTACATTCGGCAGATTCAAAACGAGGCGGTGGGCGAGGACCGCGAAGGCGCGTTCTTTTCACAACCAGCGATCCCGCATCTGGTTGACGGCACGTCGATCCCGCCTCCCGACGACGACCTCGTCGCACTTCCACCTGGATGGGACACAGCGCTTGATCCGAAAGGTCGCCGATACTACATTGATCACATCCACAAGCGGACGACGTGGGAAGCGCCTGTCGTCACCCAAGAATCGCCGCCGCGCTCTTAACATAGTTCATTATCACAAAGTACATCCATCGATCCATAAAATGCAGTGGCGGCAGCAGGATGGAGGGGTAGTGTCGCATCGGCGGAGGCCTCAACTCGAATGGTACTTCCGGGCAATGTACTCTGAGTTGTCCAAGAACCACACGACGCTTTGTCCGGACTTGGGTTGGCGGTCCGGGGCTTCCACCGGCGCACGTCGAAAGGTCGGCGGGCGGCGGCACGTCACTGTGCGCGCCATTTTCTTGGCAACGGCCACATTCGAGCTCGTCAGAGACGCATATCGACGGGAGAGCGTCTTCATGATGTACTTGACCAGGCGAGGTTTCATCCACGTCCTCACGGCGCGGTGCATTAGCACGGACGCGCCATTCATGGTGCAGTGTTCCAATGGCTCGAGTTGCCATCCCCCGTAGCGTTCGCCCGTCCTAGTGTCTGTCGCAAAGGCGGCGCGGATCAGCTTGGCGAGGTGGCTGCGGCACCCATCCTTGAGGTTCACGTCCATTTCTTGAAACAGTCCCATCTTGCGCTCTTCCTTTGCGTGGCGGAAGAACCCTTGCACCGCGTTGTTGACCGCTGGTTCGAACAACGCGCAGCATGTGATAGCAACGTTGTCGAGGATCTACACCAATGCGATGAACAACAAAAGTACGATGAAAACCACACACGTACAAGGCTGGCCGTGTTGAGCAACGGCGAGTGGCCCAAAATCAAGTCGTCGAGCAAGTCAATGTGCCCTGGCAAATACGACCTCGCGTCGAGGTAGTCGAATGCCATTTGCTCGAACGCAGTCGGGCCGTACCGAAGCAAGTCCGCGTCGTCGTGGAGCAATCGAACCATGGTCAACTCGACGTTGGGCTCTTCCGCGCCGTCTGCAGTGGTCGCTCGTGGCACAGACGCCGCGCGAAGCATGTCGAGTTGATGGCTCACAAACGTGTCCTTGTACGGGTCGGTCGGCGACACAAACGTGAACGATTTCGCGTGAGCCACCATGTCCCGAGACTGGCTGAACGTGCTGTGGAGGAACGCCATGAAGCCTGGAGTCCACAGCGGGTGCAAAATTTGCTCCAGACACGATTGAAGCTGCCGGGACGGCTGGCTCACGAGGTAGCCGCAGGTGTCGCTAAAGGCTTGCATCATCGTCGTGGCAAACTTGGCGGGATGCTCCAAGATCTCTGGCGCTGTCGTCGTTGACGCGGCCAAGAGGCGGTCGAGAATGGGGAGGTACCACGCGTACGCTTGCAGGATCGCAGTGCTCCACACGTGGTGTTCTTGGTGGTGGAGGAGGTTCAGGGACTGCGCCATGTCGCGCTTGATAAACAAATTGGCGATGCGCTCGGTCTGCATCTTTTCTTCGAGCATGCCAAACACTTGGCACCGGCGATGCAACTTGGCCGCGTGAAAGTAGTTGAACAGGAACCGAATCTCGTACATCCCGGGCTCGTTTGGTGTCGTCACCATCATGCGCCCCGTCACTGGACCACTCCCGTGGTTCGGGAAGAATGCGGTCGGCGGGATGATCTCGAGCTTGGCACACTTGCGAGTGTTGTGGATGTCCTTGACCTTGTAAAACGCGATGCAGTTTTTGTTTTTGGGATGCGCCAGCACCTGGTACGCGACGCCGTAAATGTTCCATGATACGTTCACGGCTTGGTTGGCCCACATGAGGGGCGAGTCCGAGCTAAGACGAATGAACAGATCAAACGTCCCGACGCTGACCGCGTTCGAACTAAACTTGTTGAGCGGGTCAAAGTCGTCGGGCTTGGACACGACCGCTCGTGTGTGGCTTCCGCGGCGCTCCGGCTCGTTCAGCAAAGGCGCTGCTTCGGGAGAGTCCTCGACGACCACGTACGCAGATCGCGTCGACGAGTCGCGCTCGTCGTGGAGTTTGGTGCCAACGTATCGCAGGTACAAAAACTCGTACTTTTCCATCCCATACTTGCACGGGTAGATGCCGGCGGAATTGCCAAAGATAAAGTCTTCGTGTTTCGGGTGATCTTCGGCTTCGTTCGTATTGCATGGACGGAATTTGACGTGGCCGTTGACCGTCTAGCCATGACACGATGAGCACACGTACGAGGGATGACTCAGAAACGACGCGTTGTCGCTCATTACCTTGGTGGACCTGGCTGCCGAGGCGGTGTCTGCATCGTGATTTTGATCCTCTTTTAGTGCCTCCGCGACGGCAAGTCCATCCATGTCGTCTTTGTGCTGCACGCAAAGCACAAAGTTAGCATCCTGTTTGAGCGACCCGTTGGTAGCTACTACGATGGGCCACAGGACGCACCTCTTCGATTTCTTCCAGCAAAATGTCATGCATCTTCTTTGGGGAAGGCGGCGCATGGGCCAACACGTACTCAAACATGTTTTCAGCCTGAGACAAGTCGATGAGCTCGGTGCTTTCGGGGTTCTCTCCGCTTTCTTCCAAGTCTGCTTTCTCATCAGCTTTGGTCGACTCTTGGTTGTCGTCGTCGTCGGCGTTCGATTTGGCTAACGACACCGACTGCCTGTGCAAGGAACCAATCTTTCTGTGCAAGATCTTTTCTAGCGCAACGGCCCGCGTCACCATCACTTTGTCATGATGGTTTTCGTTCGCCGCGTCCGGCTTCCACCCGAACGGCTCGACGTCCGACTCGGACACGAGGCGGTAGCATAGGCACTGGTCCATCGTCCGCCTTGACAGAAGGTTGTCCAGCGAACGTGCTGGAAACATCCCGATTGCGTCTGACGCGTGAAATCGGCGCTTCGAGTTGATGCGCCAGCTCACCGTGATCTCGCCTTCGCCCACGTCGAGCTTGTCGGATTGAATTATGTAGCTCGCTTCTGGCAATGCCGACAACACGACTAAGTCGCCCTTGGTGTCCTTGGTCTTGTTGTTTTCGTCATCGTCGCTGTCGCCACCGTCGTCATCTTCGTCCTCTTCGGACTCGGTTTCGTCGGTGTTGTTGTCGCCGCCGCTAGCATTCTCGCGGACGGATGCAAACGTCACGTCGACGCCGACGGCGCTCAGTTTGTCCGTCACGGCAGATTCTGCGTCGGCGATCTTGCCAGTCACGGCATCGGTGCCCTTTTCGTTGGCAATCGCGGCGACCTTCTCGAGCGCAACCGCTTGGTCCGCGCTCAGTCCCAGCGTGTGTTGGACCTGGGCGAGGGATCGTCCTTGGATGTCCGTGAGTTTGCCTGCATTGTTGGACGCTGCGGCAGTCGCAGCTGCTTGAGTAGTGTCGATCACGGACTGAAGAGTGTCTTGGACCTTGGCTTGTTCCACTTTGGCAAACTCCTGGAACTTGCGATATGTCTTGAGGACCTGGTGGTTGAATTCCATCACCGGCGAGACAAACGCGGCAATGAGCGCGGCGGCGGCTGGGGTTCCAAGACCGTCCGCATTGCGGTTGATCAACGGCATGAGGACCAGCGCCAGGACCGACGCCAGCTCGACCATCGAGCTCACCCACTTGGTCAAGGTGGCAAGAAATTCCGTGTCGACGAGGTAGACGAAGCCGGCTTCGTCCTCGTTGTTGTGGCGCGCCTTGCCCCAACGCATAAAGCGCATCTTGACCTTGCCCACGCGCTCGCTTTCTGGTTTGTCCGCTTGCAAAAACTGCGCCATGCCTCGAACGTTAGAACACACTGCGTGCTCGACAGCAGTGCGACGTACCTGGTCGTTCAAGAAGTAGCTCAAGATCGGGCCACGGTTCACGCAGTCCGAAATGAAGGTTAGAACTCCCGCCGACGAAAACGGTAGCCACAGCAAACTGTTGACCTGGAACGGTGTTTCAGTTGAGCAAGGGCATGACGGGGACTGTACCTTGCCGTGCAGCGACATCATTTGAAGCTGCTTGATCTCGTTGTTGGGCTCCATGGGAAAGCAGCTCTTCCCGCGCTCTTCAATGTCGTACACGTCCCATCGGTCGTAGCTCCAGAGCCCAAACGTGACAGCAAGCACGTCAACGAACGGTTTGATGACCTTCTTGAACACCCAGTACCGCTTCCACTCGGCATTGAACCGGCAGCAAAACTTGTCTGTCCACGACGACGCGCCGCGCAAGTGCGGTCGGGGGTACATGTACCCGCGCTTGCCCCGCCATCCAAACACGGCGCCGACGGCGCGCATGATGCTCTGGAGAAGCAAAACCGTGTACACGTACAAAATGACAAACCAAATCCCGACGTAGCCGTACGTTTTCGTGAGTTTGTGAAAGCTCGAGTACTTGTAGTCCATGAAGATGCGCTGCCCGGACCCGTGGAACCAAAACAAGTTGCGCAGCGAACACCACCGCGACCACTTGGGGTCTTTCGCGTTGTCGCCGTAGTCGATCAGGTTCACGTTGTTGTCGACCGCGTCGTGGATGCCCTGTTTGCGGCCGTGGTGGCTGGCCTCCACTCTGTCGATGTCGCTCTTGAGGTCGAACGGCGGCACCCAACTGAACATGTCCAACACGAGCAGCGGGAAGAAAAAGTAAAAGAACGTGATGAGGAGGACGGCCGCCGTCACTTGGAGCGCATAATCGAGCCCTGCCACCTTGCACTGCTGGCTCGCCACCGGCTGCACGAACGTTTGGCCTTCCCACAGCTCGTTGGAGAAGACAGTCCACTGCTGCGCAATGAACAAAATGAGCACTTTGATCACGATCAACACCGGACTGACAAGCACCGACCCAAGCTGTTCGAACCGATCTTCCCCGGTCTTGCCGACCTCGACGGGCAAATACGACCCGATCTTTTGGACCTTGGCCAGGATGTCCTCTTGGATCACGATGTACAAGAAGAGCGCGGTCGCCCACAGAGCGATCCAGTTGACGAGCATCCCGAATCCGTGCGTGCAGTTGGCAAAGAACTTGAAGATGTTGAGGTCCACCATGATGTACTCGAGCAACGTGGCAAAAAAATGGTCAAACCACGCAAAAATCTCGCGGACAACCGGGACAACGTCGCGCAACGCGGCGAGGCACTGGACCTGGAGCGCTCGAATCGCGTCAAAGCTCAAGTGCGGCCACTCGATCTTCAACGCCAAGCTCGACACGAACGACACGTTGAACGACAAGTTGAGCAATGCGACAAAGTACTTGAGCGTCAGAACAAACAAGTGAAACGCAGCTTCGACTAGCGCCAGCTTTTGGTGGACGGTCAGGGTGAACCACGACGACTTTTTCGCGCTTGATTGAATCGCAAACGGTCCGACCCGGCCGAGCTCGCCGAGTGACCCGGTCGCGTCGCCCCGGCGCATGTACTTGCAAATATACATATCGCCAACCGAGACATCGTCGCCGACGAAGCTGGCGACCGATCCGTCGATGGTCCCCGACACGCCACAGCGTTCGTCTTGGGTGAAAACGGACTCCTTGATGGGGATCTACCGCAGCGTGTTGGTGGCATGGTGAGGCAAGAATGAAATAGCATGTCGGCTACGTACTTGACGGCGGAACAAGTTGTTTTTGACCTGGCCGTCGCTCTCCAACTCGAGCTCGTCGGTGCGACATTGCAACTCCTCAATCAACTCGGCGATGATCGCGGGAAAGTGGTCCTTGAGCTTTGTCGATGCGTTGTGATACAGCGGCAGGCACTCCTCAAACACGTACAGCCATCGCACTTTGCGCAGCTTCTTCAAGGCGGACCACAATTTCATGTACGTCCGCGCCTTTTCGAAGAAGTTGGCGTTGGCAAACTGGACGACCGTCAACATGATTTGAAGCTCCCATTGGATTTGCTTTCGAATGCGGTTGGTGCGCTCGGCATCGCTCGTCTGGAGCTTGCCCAAGATCTACGCAGGCGAAGACATGGATCGATCCAATCCATCGATTGCCATGGATCGGCGCACCTTGACGCGGATGCGGTCCGACGTTTCCACGACCACTTGGGGTAAAATGACAACGCAGTCGTTGCTCAAGTCGTTCAAGTGCGGGTTGTCCTGCGGCAGCGTCCCGGTCGCCCCTTCCAGCAAAAACTCGACACGCATCGGACTTCTGTAATTGAACTCTGGCGGCGGGACCTCGGGTGCCGCCCCGGTCAGCTGCAGCACACTCCGGCGCTTTTCAAATTCGACACGGATGAGTGCCCATCCTTTGACTTGGTCTTCTAGATCCCGGCATCGCGCTTCAATGTCGGCCACCTGCAGTTCCAGGGGCCATTTTTCTGTGGCCGTGGTCCTCTGGGCTTTGAGCGACTATACACATGGGATCCCATGGGAAAACCGATCATATGGAAGGGGGTAGACAATGCAAGATAGCGCACCTGCCATTCGACCAACAGCGCATCTAGTTCGGCCCTTGCTTTGTCTTGATGGTTCTTGATGCCAGCCACTCCTTTGGCCTTGGCGTTTTCCGCTGCGCGCAATTTGACTTGGCACAGCGCCAATTGCTCTTCCAAGCGCTGCACATCACGCACAATCGTTAGCAAAAATGGGGCATCAACGGGGAACGGACCGTGCGTTTGGCGGCGCGAAGGTCCCGGACACTGAGCTGCTTCTCCAATTCCGCGGATTCAGCCGACAGCATTGCGATCGAATTGTCCAGTTCAGCATCGTACCCGCACGCCCGGAACCACCACGACGACGACGACACTGGCATCGTGCTGACTTGGATCAAGTTGGTCGCTGTGTCAATGACCGACATCGAGCACTTGACTGTCTTTACATCGACCAGAGGCGTTGTGCCAAAGATTGTGTGGATGCTGTTCACGCCGACGTACACGTTGAGCCCGGCGCTTGCTCCCACGGACGACCGGTAGTTGACGCCTTCGATCGTTTCCTTGCGGATCAAGCTCAGCCGGTACGTGCCGGGGGGAAGGGACAAGTCTCTCGCGGACGGCAGGAGAAACATACCCGACGCCTTGGCGCCGTCCCCATCCTCGGAGGGTGTCCGATGTAAGATGGCGGCTTTGGTCTCTCCGCCCGAATATAGAGCCACGCTCGAGTCAAAAATGTCCCAGTTGTTGGTTTTTGAGCTCCAGAACAACGTGAAGAACGACATGGACAACATGAGCTTCTTGTCGTCGTTCTCGCGCACTAACGCGATCGAGTCGCCTTGATGGACTCCAAACTCATCGCTTGTAGCCCACTTGACGGCCAGCGGGGCGTCCGCGGGGTACTCCAACTTATCTGGGTCGGCGGCGACAAGGGGCTGGGTGTCGGCCATCTTGCTGACGGTGTCGCACTTGTACTCGACACTCAGGAGCAGTTTCCCCGACGCTTTGTGCTCGAGGTCGTATATGATGGCGAGGTCGTCCGTCTCGAGCGAGTCATCGTGCAGGACGTCCAAAAAATCTTGAATCGGCAGCGCAGTTTGACCGAGCAATTGCGTCTTGAACTTGGCGCGTTTCTGGTTTTGGCGCCACGTGGCTTGCTCTGCCTCGAGCTCGTCAACTTCGGTGCGCAACGCGGTGATGCGCCGCACCAGGGCGTCCGCTTCATGTTCCTTGCGCTTGAATTTCGTCATTTGCATCTCGAGTTCGGCCGTCACGTCAAACAAGTGGAGCGATTCCACGAGCAGTTGCTTTTGTTTCTCCAACAGGGTCCGAATCACGCGCTCCGACTTCTCCGCGCGCCCAAGCTCGATCGTGGCCTGGAGGAGTCGTTCGTACTTCTGTGGGTTGAACTTGCGCGCGCGCTCTGTGCGCTTAAACAACTTGATCACGACGTGCGTCTGCGCGTCTGTGGTCCGCGTCCTGTCCAGGTAGAGACGGAACCGCTCGTTTGGAAACTTGACGACGCCGTCGGCCAACGGGTCCTGCAACCCATCATGTCATGACCCGTCGATCTCGTGCTACCCTACCTTGGTGACCAAGCGAGAAATCATGCGGTGGCTGCGCAAGTCGAGAGGAGCTTCCTCCGTCACGGACGCGTACGGGTTCATCGTGTTGTACACTTGGACCAATTGGTCTCGGGACGCCATGTAGTCGTCGGCGTTGTCTACGACGACGCGAGCCACCCATGATTCACGATCTGCCACAAGGACCAACTACCTCGTGGGTAATGTTTGAAATGCTGCTCCATCTCCAAGTACTCGGCCACGAGCTGCTGCGACTCGCCTTGGTCCCATTCTTCGTGTGGTGCACACTTGTACGACGAGAAACGCTGGCCAAAGAGGACGTCTCGCGCTTTCTTGCGCCAGGGCTTTCCCTTGGGCTTTTGGAACTCGTCGTTCCAGTCCGCCCCCGTGATGGTGTATGCGACGATGTAGTACTGCTCGAGCTCGGTTGAACACGTGTCGGCTTCGGCCACGTCGTGCAGCTCACTGGCGCACTTGACAGTGAGTTGCAAGATGCCCTTGTTGCGCGTTGCCTGGCTCGATGGCCAACATGAGAACCCAGCCGATGGGGCGGACGATACGCACCAAGTTCGACTGAAACGAAGTCGACCACGCCGGGTCCTTGAGTTCGATCGTGCGCTCGACGACTTCTTCCGTGCGACTAAACGCAATGCCGGCATTCACGGCTTCTTCGGCAAAATCGTCGACACTGGCTGCCGCATCCAGCATATCCTCGGCAAGTTCGTTGACGCTAATTTTCTCGGGCGCTGCCTGTATCTCGGCCGCGAGCGCCGCTGCATTCGTGGTGAGTGCATCCAGTATGCGTCCGAGCGAGACTTGGTCTTACCTGCTCGAGTGTGCCGCGGCTCGGGCTCCATTTTGTACGCTTGGATGTAGTTCCAGTCCAGGACAGAGTCGCGATTGCCAAACGCGGCCGACGGATACAACTGGACAAAGCCTGCGCACGTGATTCCGGACGTCGCGGACCCGTGGTCGCCCTCAATCGTCGAGCAAAGCTTCACCCACACGTCGTCGTCGAGTTGGAAGGACGATTTGCGGGCGGCGAGGAGGTCGCGCAGCTCCTGCTTTCGAATGACCCTGCAAAAGAGGCCTGTCAGGTGCAGAATCAAAGTACAAGTTGGTCTTGCCGACGGACCGGACACGGGCAAACTCGTCAAAGAGGAGCTTTGAGTAGTGCAAATTGATCCAGGCGTCGACGGGGTTGAGCTTCTTGTTAGGGAGCGCAAAGATGCGGTAAAAGTCGTGCTGAGTCCACTCGTACTTGGTCACGTCGGTCTTTTGCATGTGCTGGAGGAAGTCTGCCCACGGCATCGACGAAAAACACGCCTTGTGGAGGCCGCGGAGACTGTCGATGTGCACTGTCGCGTGGTGGCGGCCGTCTTCGAACAGCTCGAGCGCTTCGTCGAACAGCTTGTCCACCGAGTGTAAGTGCACGTACAGCCGCTTCAGGTCATGACCTTCAAACTTGGTCGACAAAAAGCGACGGTCCATGTTGACCAGCTCCAGGACACTGCATGTAAATTGCTTCTCGGTGAGGCCCAAGCGAGGTTTGGCGTCAACGGAGCGGCAGAACTTCGTCCACTTTTCCACGTCCATCGGCTCCGTCTCGCCCGTGACGGCCTCGCGGAACAGCATCGCACCGTCATACGTGAGCAGTTGGGTCTTGTCGTCTTGAAACATGCGGAACAGCAAGTGCGCGTATTCGAGGATCGTCCACAAGTCTAGCGGCGATGTTTTGAGACGCGTGAGGACGTCGACGAGGTTGTCGGCAACGACGCCGCCCAGCCCACCCAAGAACGAATGCCAGTGGTCGTGCAGCTCGAATCGCATTTGCCCATTCGATGCGACCGTAATCTCGGACGGCCCCGCGCTCTTGTCCGACACCCCTTGGATGCCCGTGACCGCGACGATTACCTGTGCGTTTTCTTGGATGGCGTTGCTCGAAGTGTCCAACGTGATTTCAAGCACGTGCGACGCTGCGTTCCAGTACGTTTTCGACGTCCGGACCGTGGTCGGTTTGAGGAACTCGACGTCGATTCCTTCGACATCCTTGGCCTTCCAGTCCGCAGTCGGCATTTCAATCGCAATCGTGCTGTCCGGCCCAAGGTCGGTGAGAGCATTGAACGTCAACGTCGTGCGGTCTCCGAGTTGCACGTAGTGCGACTGGAGCCGCAGAAAGTGTAGCGTGTACGGCTCCTCGGACGCGACCCGCGCGTCCAGCTCCGCCATGACAGCCGTGTAATGGTCATCCGTCGACCGGGCCAACGAAAACGGTTTGATCGCGTTGAAGCGTTCGGGTACGCCTTGGCTGTTTTGAAACACAATGGCGCTTAACACGTCGTCCTTGACGACGCCCCCGACATCTTTCAACGGATCGAGGTCCGCGACGACCGCGCATTGTCCGAAAAAATCGGCGGCAAACGAGATCCCCGACCCTCCCCGAACAACCTCGACCGTGATGGGGCGCAGCGACGGGTCGGCAAATTTCGTCGTGGGGCGCGCCCCTTTCGACGCCAAAAACGTTTCTTGGACGAGCGCGCGCCAGGTAGACCAGTCATTGAAGAGGGTGATGGTTGTGCGCATCGTAGTCCCTTCGCTATCACTGGCGGGGCTGTGGAGCACGACGCCAGGTCCCGCCAGCAAGCGCGTGGTAATGCCATGAATAAACATGGTCATGAACGCCCCTTGCTTGATTCCTTTTGCGCCGGTCAACGCGACTGTCGCCGTTGACGTTGCCGGGTCGTATTTGCACGTCGGGCGCAGCAAATCTTGCAATGTCGGTTCAAACGACACGGTGACCGAGTCGCCCGTCGCGCCGGGCGGTAGCAAAATCGAAAACGCCCCGCCGCGGCCGATCGGCTCGTACGTACGAAACGACAGCTTCAAATCTGTGTCTTGAATATGGTAATACACTTCTTGACGCAAAAACACGACCTTGCGCACGGTGGCGTCTACGTGGTGGCATAGCGAGTGGTGTGCGAGGGCAAAAATGGCGAGGGATCGTACCGTGCGTGTCCAGTTGAGATTGGACTTTGTCTTGGCGCGCCCGTTCGCCGTCGACCGAGCCGATGGGGTCGAAGAACATGAGTTCGCCGTCGATGGACGCCACGATGTCATCCGTTTGGATCGTCGGGTGCTTCTTCGCCTGGCCGTCGATCGAGTGAACAGCCATACACTGCCCGAAAAAATCACTCTGCACTTGGATGCCGAGCGCTCCAGGCTCGTCGAACGCTATCTCGTACAGCATCATGTTGTTGGCATTGTGGACGATGATGTCGTGGGGAGCGCCTCGAGTGGCTTCCGTAGCGCGCATCGTGTGACTTGTCCCACCGCCAGGTCCGGGATACGTGGTCTGGTTTTCTTCTAGAATGGCGCACCACTCCTTGTCTGCCAGAGTGCGCTGGGTGGACCCGGCTTTGAGGAGGCCGTGCAGCGCCTGGCGCGAAATCAAGTTGTCCTTGGCGAAATGCGTCGCGAGCTTCTCCTCAGCGAGAATCGTCTGCACGACGTCCGCGGGTGCAAGCGGTTTGCCATTCGAGCCAAATAAAAAGTTTCCTGCCACGAGCCCGTTTGTGTTTAAGTTGATGTGCCACGCTTGTCCAAACTGCTGCCACTGAAGCTCCAATCGCACTGCCTGGACTTGGCGGCACAGCCGCTCCCAACTGCGTTCGTCAATTTTGGTCTTGACGCACGCCTTGCGCTGCATCCCCTGCACGGCTGCAAATGTCAAGCTCGATGTCGACGGGTCGGCAAACTTTTCAAACAACATGAGCAGAAAATGCACAAACTGCTCCATCGCCGCGATTTGGTGCATGATGGACAGGTGCACGGGGGCGTGGGCGCTTTCGTGGATGCCGAAGAACGGTGCAAACCCAAAGAGTTCATTGAATTCCGACTCGCGTACCCACACGTCGGTCGCGTCGTCTGGGTGGAGCTCGTGCATGGCTGCCGTCCAGTCCGCGGTCGTGACGACGGGATGGCCAACGCACCGTCTGAGTTGATTAAACTCATCGACGCTCATGCCATCTTTGTCTCGTGCGTTTGCAAGCGGTCTCGGGTGGAACCACGCGAAGAGCCGCTTCAGTGCTTCTCCAGGTGCAATGTTTTCGTAAAACGGGAGCGACGTCGTGGCCGTGCCGCCGTCTTGCTGGCGTCGTGGGCTCAGCTGCGACGCCGCCGTCCGTAGGGACGTTTGCAGCTCGCGATCCGAGCTCATGCTGTGTGGGCGGCGGGTTACTTGCACACTGTGAAACACCTCGAGCCGAAGCGGCGTGCAACGAAACGACGTAACGACCGGTTACCCGGCGAAACCGTCAGTATATTTAATTTGAGAGGGTTTACACGTGGCACGCTGACACGCGTGGAAATTCCTCTGCACCGTCCCGGCCTGACCACGGTGGCACTTGTGGGTCCTCGATTGACTAGTGTTGGGCGGCTGTGTTGGATGCACGGAGTGTACCATGTACTCAAATATTTCGTTCGCCGCGATCGGTGGCAAGAACGTTCTCGGCGCTTCGGGGGGGGGAGTGCTGATTGTGGTCTGTCCGTCGGCGGCGCCGTGCAGGCAGTAGGGGTGGTCAGCTTGCTCCACGATTATAGCACAACGTCGACCGTCTCGTGTTTCTGAATCCATGCCGACACGCAGATTCCCGTGGGGATGTGCTATGGCCTTGATCCATTGCGACGACGGCACCACCAGAAATAGCACTTTGTGGAATGGGTTGTGCACGGCATGTCAACACGGAGATGATTCGGACGAGGTCTCACGCCGGCCGATCCTTCGGTCGTCATCGCCAGCGCGAGATAGATTCCCAGTTGGAGAGGTCTCACCTAGCAGAGGCATTCAACGGCATCGCCAACCTGTCCGGTAGACCCATCAACGACGATATGGCCAGTGCGCTGCTGCCTTCGTCTGCGGTCTGAGTCGTGTATCAATGGATGGGATCTGCTACCGCCCAGGCCGAACGGCATAAAAACACGCGCACGGGTGAAGTCGCTGGGTGGTCGAGGTGGACACGCCTTCCCGTGGCCAACCGTGGGGCGTGAGGCGCGTGGGAGTCCGTCCGTCGGTGGCTCAGGACGCATGCAACCAGCCAGCCGCGGCCACCCGTCGCACTCTTGATGGCGTAGCTTCAACTCGGGCACATCTTTCGCTGTGTACAGGGCAAGCGAACGGCCGAAGCCAAGCCAGTCAACCAGCCACATTGTCCCATGTGATGGTCCATCTTGATTGGCTCGGACGAAGCCAAGACATTACACCGTACAAAGCGGCGTTTGCTCCCGCTAAACAGGTCCAGTTGGCCAACATCCACCTCAAAACGGATGTATCGGCTTCCAATTTGGGCCAGTTGGCCGAATTGGAGCGGCGTTTCCGATACAAACCCGGCGCTTTGAAAATGCGTTACAACGTCTGTAACAAATTGACTTGAAAGGCCGAGGATATTTGAGGCAGCGAACCATTCCAATTTTTGGGCCAGTTCAGCATGACCAGCGCACTCGGTGTGAGTCCGCCGCCACAGGAGACCGAAGTGTCGAAGGATGCGTCGCCGAAGCAGATGCTGGACGCTCCCCCGTCGCCGTCTGTCGACGATTTTCACATGCTGGACAAGTCGCTGGTCGAAGTCACAGACCTCCTCCTCAGCGAAGATCGCCAATCCAACAGCTCGACCCTGCGCGACTCGATCTTCCTCGACGACGAGCTTGTCCACACCAAGGCCAAGCTCGCCGACATGCAACGCGTTTGCATGGACTTGGAGTTCCAAGTCAAGCAGCTCGAGGCCGCCAAGCTCTTGTGGGACGTGACCCGACTCGCCATGGAGTTTCAGGTGATCAAGGACAAAGACGCGCACGCGCGCATTCGCAACCGGATCGAGGATGAGCTGATCCGCGCGTCCCATGCCGCCAAATTCTTCCGTGCGGAAGCGGACAAGCTGCAGGACGAAGTTGTCGTCAAGGACACGCGCATCCAGGAACTCGAAGCAGAGGTTCAGCTCCTCCGCAACAAGAACGACATGCACCTCCGACTGCGCCAACTCGATGCCCAGGTGCACCAACTCACCGCGACGAACCGCGCCCTCATCACCGAGAACCACGAGCTAAAAATGCGCCAGTATGGCCTTCAGCAAGACCTCCAGCACGACCTCCAGCCCGTCCAGCGGTCGTCTTCGTGGAACCTCTTCAACCAAAACAAGTCGTCCAAGTCGCGAGACAACGTTGTGGACTTGCCGAGGAAGACGTCAGCGGCCACGTCGCAGTCCAACGAAAGCCTGCCGGGTGCCGAACTCGCCAAGTCCACCGCCAACCTCGAACTCATCAAAATGCTCCAGCGCGAGCTCGAAGACGCCGACTTCAACCGCGACTCGTTCGACGCGTGGTACTGAGTCGCAACCACCCAGGCAGTAGAGAATAAGTTATAGTTATTTAGCCCATCAAGTGAAGCACCTAGTTAAGTTATAAGAGTGATCTGCCCGATCCTGGTTCTTGCAGTGTGGCGAAAGATCATCGCTGTCGTCCGCGCATGGGGTGAACGGCGCTTCGTCGGCAGACCCGCGGACAGCACCTGGCTACTCGAGGACGAAGCACACTCCAACTCAGACAGGCGACAGATTCCAGCGCAGTGATCAGGTCGTCTGGGCGCGACAACATCACCCAAGTCTTCTTGATCGCAATTGGAGTACTGTATGGCATCGAACCATCGCTCCCATCCCGACGGCGATCGAGACATGGCGCCGGTGCTTGAATCTCGTGCCAGGGCGCCACGCGGTTGCAACTGCAGTGGCAAAACCTCGAGAAATTTACACACCACGGCGGCCACAGTTGGTCGTTCCTTCGGATGCGTGCCCGCATTGGGGCATGGAGCGGGTGCCACAGCGGCGCTTTCGTTCGAGCCACACAGCGACTACCGTCGTTTCGCTGGTCGGTAGGCATCGCAACACAGTTGTATCGCCGCCGCGCTTCACCACGGCAAAAGCCCTTTTTTGTCGCACGTTAACGTTAGCGCACGGACCTGCGACGCGTGCAATCACCAAGAACGACGTCGAGTCGAATCTGGACAGCATACTGGCGGTGAACGCAATGGCAGACTCGACAAAGGCGTCCGACGGATCGCGTCTCCTTCACATGAGTTGGAGGCGGGGGCATTTGCATCAAGACACATGGCACGCGATGACGCTCGTGTCCCATAGTGAATCAAAAGTTTGCGTTAGCTACTTGCCATCAATCGGCGGTCGCGTCGGTCATGACAAAGTCCTCCTTGACGTAGCAACAAGAAATGTTCGACATGACCGCGCTAAAGGCTGGCGGGAGGTTTGCGACCGTCGTCAGCAGAACGCACAAGATGCTTTCGTTGTCGGCATCGGCCAGCTCAATGTTGACGAAGAGCCTGACCATAAACTGGATCGAGAGCGAGAGGTGCTCGAGCAATGGTGTGTACAAGTCCAACCACGCGGTGCGCATGCCGCCGAAAGTCGTGCAAACTGAACGAGGGCGTCGATGGCGTTCCAGAAAACATGGCACAAACTCGCCGACTGTATGGCATCGAACCATCGGTTCCCATCCCGACGGCGGTCGAGACATGGCGCCGGTGCTTGAATCTCGTGCCAGGCCGCCACGCGGTTGCAACTGCAGTGGCAAAACCTCGCGAAATTTACACACCACGGCGGCCACAGTTGGTCGGATGCGTGCCCGCATTGGGGCATGGAGCGGGTGCCACAGCGGCGCTTTCGTTCGAGCCACA